AAATTTTTTTTGCAGAAACATCCCGAGATATCGCCCCAGCCAGTGTTATACCCCCGTAACTAACGAGTTTCATATACTATAACTGTTTTATCGCAATGGCATAATGTTTTCTTTTTTTGTAATAGAAATAAATAAATAAATAAATCGTTAGCTACATTAGTTATTCATGATAAGGCAGTTTTTTCAAGTTGTCTTTGCTGCCGCAAAAAAAAAAGATATACAAGAGACATCCAATGTTAGAGGCGGATTGTAATTAAACTGTTACCATCGCAATATTGATTCAAGATAAAAGGGTTTCTTCAGTGGAAATAATTGATTCAGCGGATGTACCTTTTTGATTAAATGAGAGTAAATTTCATTTCATTAATTATCTTTGTTTATTTTTTTCGTTGTATTTATGTATTTTATTTTATTTTATTGATTCCATTTTTTTTCGCTACTTGGAATGTTCGTTACCTCTGCCCCATTGGAGCCTCTGTGAAAAAAACTACATTGATATATACAAGGTGCGAAAAAAACTCAACCGTTATATATATCAGTCGAGTTTTTTTCCTATATGAAGCAATGAAAAAACTGTACTGTTATATATCAATACAGTTTTCAAATGCTCATTGAAGTGTACTGAGTATAATGGGTTAGTTAGAACAAAGGAAAAGTTCCAAACCATGCGATAACTTGTGTTTCCGAGTAGTGCGATCAGAACAAAGGAATGACGTTATAGCAGTAATTTAAACGTCGTGGTGGCATTTTAATTAAGTATGCAGTTTAATGTTTAGCATTCATCACACTCAAACATTTCGATCATTCGTATGCAAAACAATTAATTATTTATGATAAAATTAGTAGTACGTCATTAATTTAATAATAAATCATGTTTTTCATTATAGATGTTCTGTTTTCAATTAGCCAAGTTAATTGTTGGTGTGCAGTCTACGCATCAGTCATAAATAAAATTAATAATAATTTGTAGAGTAACAATGTTGGAAAATTTTGTTTTCTAATGGCAATATAAACAATATTTTATGAAAATATAAACAATATTTTGATATAGTTGATTGATGGCATTTACAATGACACTATATATGAATAAATGATTCCATTTCCACGTTATTTAATAGAAGAACGCATTATATCAAGTTTCATTTAAATTGCAGTATTTCTTTATCATACCAAGATTTGTATATGTCTGAACGAAAGATCAAAATAATTTCCTCTAAAACTAATATGCTATCGTTAAACAGTCACTAAAATTCTTTCATTAGGAACGCGTATAAAGTTGTGAGATATATCATAATGAAGTTATATGTTTGCCGTGCTAATTCAAACTTAATTTCTATTCATTCTTTCAACAGTGCATAGTTTATAGTTTATACTAATTTATACGATCGATAGTGTTGGAAGCTTTAAGCTTATTGAAACACTCCCGTATCCATTCCTGGAACTGTACTTAGCAATGGGTGTAAAGATTCTTGCTCAAGGAAACAACGGCTTGACCCTGACGCGTCTTGCAACCACACGGCCGGCAATCCTTAAATTACAAGTCCGACGCGTTAACCACTCGGCCACGCCCCCACACAAGCAGTGAATCGGATTGCTTTAAATGATTTTTTCACTGACATACAATATTATGCCGCTCAGTTACGCCCTAGAAACATATCTGTATGTCATCAATTTGATTTTATAAAACGTAATGTCGACATGCTGAGATTAATATTTAAAATTGATTTCTATATTGATTATTAATTTAAGAATAAATGTCTTTATTATATACTTATAAATGAAATATTGAGAAATATTGATGAAATAAAATGCATATTTTCATTTTCCGTATTTTCATTGAATAAATTTATTTTTCACTGCAGTGAAACATATTTTCCGTATTTTCACTGGTGTCTTGCCGGACTACTTTCTTTTAAATTCTGCCAGTACACAAAATTTAAGGGAAAGTCTTTCAAATTTTATCGCAAAAAAGAGAAAAATGTATATAATAAACAGAAAATTCAAGGTTTTTCTATAAATACATGATTTATTTTCATCTTGTGGCATGAAAATTACCATATTTCACTCGTGGCTACCGCCACTCATGAAATATCTATTTTCATACCACTTGATGAAAATAAATCATGTATTTATAGAAAAAACTTGAATATCCTCTATTAAGTGATTTAATATTTACATTTATTATATACATATCCATCCATTCATCCATCCATCCATCCATCCATCCATCCATCTATCAATGATCTATATCGCTTAAAACTATATACCGCTTATAACGTTGCGGTTGCCGCAGTCCCTTTCTGATATAACGATATCGGAATAGGACCTTTCCAGTGTTTACAGTTTTATGTAAATTGGCTAACTTGTTATCCAATCGCTACACTGAGATAATACATAGTCACTGGTTGACCTGGTTTGCACAAAAGATCACGTGTTTATGTTTGTGAGCAGTTGACCTAGCAATGAATGGAAAAGGTGTTGCTAAATGTTCCGCTACGAAAAACCGGAAAGGTCCAATTCGGCAATTCGGCGGTCCCTTCGATTTCGTTATATAAACGGAGTTAACTGTATGTAGCACTCTCTTGGTTTGTTGTTATTTGGGGTAGTGGTGTTGAAACGTAGAATTATTAAAAGAACTCCACCGAATTTTTGAATTTTTATCCCGATCTGATTTAAACGTGTTTAAACGCTGTTCATCTTTAAGGCCTTTTTGCACGATAAAATGATTATATTTAGAAAACGGAGTGAGCGAATCTTTCAATATCACCGCATTTGTTTAATCATCCGATAATATTTTGAGATATACTTGAAAGCGTATCTGCTCAGAATGTCGCACTTATTTCCATTCCACTTCTTGTATTAAAACAAAAAGTGAAATATTTAGCTATCTGCCTTACTTTATTGACATATCACAGCGACGGAACCCCATATGGATCTCAAAACTGAGCATCGGTAAAAAATATATGTGAATTTCCGCTGATCCATATGTGCGCATTTAACTCGATATGTGAAGGAGAAAATAGGTCAATCACAGGGTAACCAATCCACACAATCCACCTCCGTGATATATATCGTTACCTCCATGATATATATCGTTAGACACAATAGTCATCCGCACATGAATAACGAAATGTCTTTGATGTGACACATTGCTTTGTTTTTTTCCCCTTTCGATCATTAGCAATTCAGGAAAAAGGTTTCTAGCTTGGATTAGTTTTTGAAATATTTGTATACCTATTATATATATGCCTCAGAAATGCTATCATTTTTATTTATTTCTCATACAACATTCTAGATATTGTTGATATCTTGTTACAGTCCAGCCCCTGCCCATTTGTATAGTTTTAGGGAATTAGTAGTTTGCTATATTTACGACGCATTACTGTTGAATGCAACGTTACTGTCTTTTATCTAACGTGCTCTAAATCAATTATTGAAATGTTACTTAATCCATGTTTGACACTTCTAAAGATATTGATAAACACGTATTTCTGAGGCATGGTGTGCCTTTGAAACGTTAACAATTTATTCTGTTTTTTACATTGAATATAAAAGCCTATCCTTATCGTGTTTCTATTAATATTACATACTAGTATAACAATAAAACAATTTGTCAATGTGCTGTGAAGAATAAGTGAAGTACAAAATAACATGCCATTGTTTAAATGTTTACAGCTACAAAGCAATATAATCAACCAGTAATAGACCTTTCTCTACTAATTCCAAAGCATATTTAATGTCATGGTATAATTTATTGCATTTGCGATTTTTGCAACTTATTTTGTCGTCTAATATGAAATCTGGCATATCGTTTCAAGAAAAATCGGGATCGTATAAAAAACACAGGGTTTCCGGGAATCGACCACTTCAATATAGCATTCAGAAAAAGCCGGGATCGTATTAGAAAAAAGAGGATATTGAATGAGTGTAAGTTCAATACTGAATTTATTGCACGAGTTGAATAAAATTATATTATGCGAGCCTCTGGCGAGCATAATATTATTTTATCCAACGAGTGCAATAAATTCAGTAATGAACTTACACGAATTTAATATTCTATTTATCACATACCCAAAATAAAGACCGTTTTAAGTGAAATAAGAGCCATTTTTTCATTGACGCGCCTATATATAGTATGACATTAATATTTAGCGCGTCTTTATACTATGTTTATATTATTAGTTATAAAGATCGTTGACAGGTTATATGGCCCTATATAAACGGCTATTTGTAAATATAACCCGAGCCGTTAGGCGAGGGTTATATTGCAAATAGCCGTTTATATACGGCCATATAACCTGTCAACAATCTTTATAACGAATTTATAATACAGCAAGCATCATTTTTAGAGAAAAAAGGTAAGATATCTTCATGAATCGACAGCAGCCGTGTATATAAAACTATATAAACGTCACGATTATCCAATGAAAAATGACGTTACAAACGTGCAGTATTATAAAACGCTAATGACGTCACGTCAAAATATATGCACGGCCGTGCAATACCATATTTACGGAGTCGTAAAATCGGCACGGGTGTGTGATAAAAGCCAATTCTCATTCGGTTTATTTGCCATAGTTGGAAGTGTCACTTGACACTTTCAATACACCAATTAAATCTAATGTTTATTGAACAGTAGGGACGATAAGTTATTTATTATTTATAAGACATATTTTATTACAGGACATTCTTTTACATTAAACTAAGTACTGTATATAAATAGACTAATATATATTAAATTTTATGTATATGTTTAGTGTTCATCCGAGCTGTTCTACGGAAATTAGAAACTTCGACGGGAGCGATACAGTATAGCGACAGGAGAATTCATGTTTCTAATTTCTGTAGAACAGCTAAGGATTTCTTTATTAATATGTCTAAATCGAAAATGTTTAAGAAATAATCTTGTATCACATAAAAATACATGTCTCTGTTTAAATACTAGAAATTCTTAAATCCTTCCGGTAATTTAATATTCGTTTCGCATAAAGTATAAGGACCTTTCAGTTGTTAAGCACTTTTCAACAAATTTCGGACAAAGCAGGGGAGAGAAATCTTAAAAATTACCAACAAACAGGCCTAAATGAATTTTTGTATTTTTCTATGGTTAGTACAAAGATAACAAATTATCTGTTTGTACATAAGCACAATCATCAACTTGACTTCCAGCTGAATCACTGCAAAAAATGTGTTTGATAGCAGAGAACATTTATCCTTAGTCAGGAATGAATTCTAAGTCCTTCCCCTTTACACTAGAGTGGTTGGACCAATGCTCGGCGCATACTGGTTGGGGACCATCAAAACCGGACAACCACCAAACCCGGACGGCCCCAAAAATGCTTAATTTAGTATTTTCTTTGATCAGTGGTTGTCAGTCACTTTTTTTATCAACAATAAGTGCATGTTTCTTTTAAAATTAAGTAAATAAATTTATTTCAACCTCCGTAAATGGTAATATTTTAATGTCTATTTCAAGAATGTTGACGTTGAAATTTGGGGGTCAAGAAAGCAATGCCTGACCTCATATACCAGCTATAATCATTTGCAGAGTGAATAATAGAATATCCAAAACTTCAGCATTTGTTGCTGACATATTGTATATCATGTTACAAATCAAAAACCAAAACACCCAAGCTTTTATCTGAATTAAATCACATCATGTATATATCTGTCCGGACACATGGTACTGTAGTGTAGACAATTTAGGTAATTTTGATACCCTCCTTGTCGAGCCTAAGATATAAGTGTCAATACAATCAGAAATAAACAAACTAGTTTGTTTGTTAGGAGAAGAACCTAGCTGAACTGTGTCAAATTTTTTGGTCTCTAGGTTAAAAATTATGAAATCTGTACGGTAAAATGTTCCAAAAGTGTCCGGTTGATGGTCTCCGACCAGTACCAATGCTCGGCGTAAATTTTTTTTTTCTAGAATATCTGAAAATGTCTCGAGTTATCTTCTGATTTAGGTCACTGGTGCTTGTATTTTCAACTGATACCATTTTATCCTGGTGTGGTTCACTGCTGGTAAAGTCATGTGACAATGCTAATATTTAGCGGACGAACAACCGTATCCTGGTTGTACTATCTACCGGGAGTGTAAGCCTTATTAGGCCCACCATCATATAATACAAAAAAAATCTTATATAAAATAGTTATTTTCTGTAGGAGGTACCATTTTTTGATGAAAATAACAATCATCCAAAAAAAATTTTAACTATGGAAGTGGCTAGCCATACGGGCCCGTATGGCTAGCCAAAAGTTCTAGCCGTACGTGAGTCACGTACGACTAGCCAGGACACACTGTATTGGCTAGCCGTACGGCACTTTTCAAAAATATATGGAAGGCGAAAGTGCATATATGTTAATTATGACTTTAAGCAAGGGTTTGAGTCAAGAATGTTTACTTTTTAGAGATTAATCGACGTGTTGGCTACAGTAAAGAATTTACTTTGTCATCTCAAGACGTCAAGAAAAAATAGCGTTTGGTTGCAGTTAAATAACATCAATTGAAATAGTTTACAAAATTTGATAATAATCCTTTTTTGTTTCATTAAGTTTAATTTTTAAACTGAAAAAAACAATACATAAAAAACACCGAAAATAATTGTTGTTGGGCTCTGATAATTGCGTCAATTACCGACGGTATAGAAGTTGTCCATCTTCCATCATTAAGAAAAGTTTGCATTATTAAATTATTTTTCCTTTTCACCGTTTTTTTTTTAAATATTCTTTTTAGGCCACTTCTTTTATATTTCTTGGTTTACAAAACCGGCGACCCGAAATATTTGTAAATTGGAAAAAAAATAAAACTGAAATTTCCACTTTTTTCCCCCCGATGCAAAAAAAATTATCCGATAAGCGCGATAAATATGAGTACGAAAATTCGAATATTTTTGAGTACGAATTTATATAACACAACATTCGGACTACCTCGGATAACTACCACAGTTCATGGTAAAACAACAATGGCGGCGCCCTTGAGCGGCACTGTTTATTTCCAAGTTGATTTTGTTGGAATTAAAGATTTGCCAACCAGACGGGCTTTTTTAAAGGCTGCCGTTGCAAGGTTCCCGCTGTCGCTCGCCAATGGCGCCAAATGCGACAAAATAATAATTCTGGCGCATAAAATCTTTCATTGGCGAATTTAACTGGCGCCAACGTAAGATAAAAGCATCCGACAACTAGTACACTTAAATGTCATAAGCGGCCGCGTCAATTACATAAGCGGCCCAAATGTGAAAGGTCACGCGCTATTAGTTTGTTTATCAAACTGTATAATCGGGTACCGTATAATCAATTATGTCATCAATTGTGTGGCACTTCGGGAACATGTGAAGATGAAAGTGTCAATGTGTTAATTGGAACAATTTACGTCTTTCATTCACTGATAATTACATGTGTGGTCAACAGGTGTTAGTAGCGCACAGAGAAGTGAAAGATCGTCCGTGATGTTGACAAACATTGAACTTTAGGTAAGTTGACTCGTCAACTGATTAAAAATAATTACAGTTTGAATATTAAATCGGATGACAATTAAAAGAATAATTTCACTAATGATTGATCTAAAGCCACTGTTACTGCAATGTTAATATTTTCATATCTGATTGTAAAATGCTGAAGTGTCTATTCACATGCAAACCCTATTAAAAATAAACAATTTTTTTCATTGTTAAAAATACTTAGTATCTATTTCATATTTTGTTCTCATTGATTTTTAGATGAAGTCAATTTATAGAAATGTTTTATTTTTTATTTTGTATCTGTAGATCACCAGATAGTCGGGTAGAAGCTGGGAAAGAGCTTGCCTCAGTCCAGCCTGTAAGAAGAACTGCTATACTGGAAGGCGGTGGAAAATAGGACCTCCCATGACTAACATGATGTTCTTGATTACATTTATGCTGTCATGTGTATTTATTTAAATGGAATTTGAAAACCACATAATGATGTGTCTATATTTTAGATAATAAACATGTGCAGCTGTAATAAGATGAAATATTATAAATATGTGTTTGTAATCATAATGAAATATAACTGCTAGCATATCTTAGCAAAGATAGGCATGTCTCCCTTGCAGAATTATTGGCTCCAACTTTGGAGCCATTGGCTCCAACCTTTTCTGATTGGCGAATTTGGTGGCGCAAACTAATTTTGACCCAGAGGGAACCCTGCGTTGATGAGGACATCGGCACGGCTTTAAGCCGTATCCTTCCTCGAGAAGATTTAATGGTTTGATTTACGATATATTTGCTAATATACCCGATGGACCTTTTTGAGGTTTTTTTTTTTTTTCGACCACCCAGTGGACATTTTTGAAAAAAAATTTTGTAAACCAAGAAAAAAAAAAGAAGTGGCCTTATTTATTTATTTATTCCCCTCTGATCATTATTTATTCGATCCATGTGCTTAATTTACAGATTTAACAATTCATCTTTCATACAAATCATAAGCATGAAAATTAAGGACGTTATAATTAACATGCAACTTTGACACTCAATTTTATTAAGATAGATTATACAACGCTTACTCGTATTCATTTTTTTGTGCAAAATTGCGGAGCCTCTTTATTAAAGTGAACACACTAGGACAAATGCGGAGATTTGATTAAAATCGTTGTTTACAGAATGCATTTTCGACTTCCATATAATTTTGAAAAATGCCATACGGCTAGCCAAGACAGTGTGTCCAGGCTAGTCGTACGTGACTCACGTACGGCTAGAACTTTTGGCTAGCCGTATGGCTATTTAAAACAATATCATCGGTCTTGAAAATGGACATATCACATTGAGGTTTGTTGACGTTGATTTGAATTTGCCATATCAAATATAGTATTTTTACGCCGAGCGTTGGTCCACCCACTCTAGTCAATATACTGTTTTGTTAATCGTTCTTGCCACTTATACCCACCTTGTGTCTGACAATCAATAGCCAGTCTTGCATGCCCGAATATTTCCTTCATCCATGCAGGGCATGCAGATGTCTGAGTGACCACAGTATTACATTATTCTGAACTGAATCTTAATTTCAAATTAATTCTGAATTTTATTTTCAGAATGTATACTATGAAGTAACCAGAGTATGTCTGGCAGATCTGCAAATGATTTACGGTTAGAGATCAGTGATGAAGGAGAAGAGATTTGTGACATATACAAGGAGCATATGCTTCTGTTGGATGCGATTAAAAACCACAACTGTGCCTTGGTACATGATCTTGTGCATAATCACGGTCTTTCACCAGACTTCAATGTAAACGGGTACTCACCTATCTGTGTAGCAGCTCAGTATGGTTTTGTTGACATTTTGGACATTCTAGTTGAGGGTGGATGTAGCTTAATAACGGAAAATTCTGATACCTGGAAGCGCCAGGCAGTTCATGTAGCAGCATCTAAAGGTCAGAATGAATTTGTAAAGAGATTGGTAAGTTATGGAGCCGATATTAACAGTCGTGACAGCGATCAAAGAACGCCACTTCATTGGGCGGCAACTTACGGCAATGCAGATATGGCAGAGTTTCTTATCTCGGAAGGTGCGGCAGTGAATATTGCGCAAAGTGACGGCTTTACATCACTTCATGCCGCAACCTGTCTTGGTCATAATCATGTTGTTAAGGTACTTCTGAATCATGGTGCCGAATTGAATCGGACAGATAGGGATGGATGGTCCGCATTCCACACCGCTGTCTGTTACGGACATACAGAAGTAGTCAAATCTTTATTAGATGCGGGAGCTTCGTTAACAAAGTTAACAAGCGATGAAGAAAACGTTGTCCACATAGCAGCAAGTAGTGGAAAAATTGACGTTCTACGTCTGCTTTTGGAGAAAAAAATGAATTTAAATGATATGAACGTGAACGGCAATACCGCCTTTTATTTATCAGTGTACTATAATGAGCTAAATATGACAAAATTCCTTATAAAAGTTGGGGCTGATATGAGTTTACCAAGAGGTCCAAAGAAGTCACCTTTATACCTAGCTGCCATGAGGAGTAATATTGATGTTATATCTCTATTTTTGGCAGCAGACTATAACTTCAGCTGCGAAGAATGGATTTTACAAAAGGATTTCCCTCAGGTTCTTTTGAAACTTCCTAAGTTGTGTAATCTCTTATATCGGAAAGCATCAAATACGCAAACATTGAAGGATTTATGTAGGTCTTGTATACGAAGGTCTGTTAAGTATGATTTAAATTTTGAAGCTCGGATAAAACAACTGCATTTACCCGTGCTTCTTCAGGACTTCATTTCATATCAAGGTCTGGACAATTTTGTAGAGTCACTAAATGAGTTTTTGAAAAAAGTTGCATCAGAAACGAGTCTCACTTAACATATATTTATACTTCAATAGGGATTGATTTACCTTAGATATGTGTTGATTGTAACTTTGTTTTTAGCTCACCTGAGCACAAAGAGTGATCAAGAGTGAGTTTTTGTGATCAATGTGCGTTTGTCGTGCGTCCTTCAAAAAATGGCGACCACGTTAACCTTTAAAACAATATCTCCTACTAAACCAATAAGCCAATTTTGTTAAAACTGAGGAGGAATGTTCTTGGCATGAAACTCTTTAAAAATTGTTCAAAGACTTCCATTTCTTGCTAAATTTTGGTTGACATGGCAACCAAAAGATAAAACTTAAAAAATATTCTTGTAAAAAAAGAACAGTTAGACCTTACGTGTTTAGCATGGAACATGTTCTATGTCTACCAAATTTAGGGGATCATTGGTTTTCCTTATATGTATGACTGTACATGTAGTAAAAACCCTCTTGTATTAGACAAAAGAGCTAGAACTTATATATTTAGCATGAAACATTTTCTAGTGGGTGTCAAACAAGTTTGTTCAAATAAAAGTCCTTGTAGCCACCCCAGCTAAAATTTCAACTTTTTTACAATGTTTTTATGCCACCGCAGCATCTGCGATGCGGTGGCATATAGCGATTCACCTGTGTGTGTGTGCGTGTGTGTGTGTGTGTGTTTGTTTGTTTGTGTGTGTGTGTGTTATATAGATTATATAGTGAACTTAAAAAATCTTCTTGTGAAAAACCACTAGTCCAATTTCAACCAAACTTGGCAGGATTGATCCTTGGGTGAAGGGGTTCCAAAGTTTGTTCAAAGAATTTCAATTCCATGCAGAAATCTGGTTGCCATGGCAACCAAAAGGAATTAAAAGAATAAATTTAAAAAATCTTCTTGTAAAGACCCAAAAGGCCCAGAGCTTAGATATTTTGCATAAGGCATTGTCTGGTAGACCTCTACCAAGATTGTTCAAATTATAGCCCTGGGGTCAAAATCGGCCCGCCCCGGGGTCATTGATTTTCACTATATGTACATATAGTAAAAACTTAAAATACCTTCTTGTAAAGACTGAAAAGGTCTAGAGCTTAGATATTTTGCATAAGGCATTGTCTGGTAGACCTCTACCAAGATTGTTCAAATTATAGCCCTGGGGTCAAAATCAGCCCCGCCCCGCGGGGTCATTGATTTTCACTATATGTACATATAGTAAAAACTTAAAATACCTTCTTGTAAAGACCAAAAGGCCTAGAGCTTAGATATTTTGCATAAGGCATTGTCTGGTAGACCTCTACCAAGATTGTTCAAATTATAGCCCTAGGGTCAAAATTGCCCTGCCCCGGGGGTCATTGACTTTCACTATATGTACATATAGTAAAAACTTAAAATACCTTCTGTAAAGACCCAAAAGGCCTAGAGCTTAGATATTTTGCATAAGGCATTGTCTGGTAGACCCTTACCAAGATTGTTCAAATTATAGCCCTGGGGTCAAAATCGGCCCCGCCCCGAGTGTCATTGATTTTCACTATATGTAAATATAGTAACAACTTAAAATAACCTTCTTAATTGTAAAGACCAAAAGGCCTAGAGCTTAGATATTTTGCATAAGGCATTTGTCTGGTAGACCCTTACCAAGATTGTTCAAATTATAGCCCTGGGGTCAAATTCGGCCCGCCTGGGGGGTCATTGTTTTCCTTTTATGTATATAGTAAAAACTTATAGTAAAAACTTTTAAAAAATTTCTTCTAGCAATTGACAAAATGCTAGAGGTTAGATATTTGCATGAAACATTGTGAAGTGAACTTCTAGCAAGATTGTTGTTGAATTATAGCCCTGCCCAGTGTCAAATTGCCCTCGCCCCAGGGGTCATTGATTTTAAATATATATATATAGTCAAAAAATCTTAATTGTCTGAAGGTACAAGGATTAGAGCTTAATATTTGTTAAGTGATATCATCTATAGGAACTCTACCAAAGTTGTTCAAACTTTGCCTCTATAGTGTCAAAATCTAGTGTCAAAATTAGGTTTTCCTTATATGTATAAAGTAAAAACTTAAAAAATCATCTTCTTTAAATTTACAAAGACTAGAGTTAAGATAATTTTGCATGAAACATCATATGTAGTGAACCTCTAGCAAGATTGTACAAATTATAGCCCTGGGGTCAAAATTGGCCCACCCCTGGGGTCATTGATTTTCACTATGTACACATAGTGAAAAAATAAAAAATATTTTTGTCTGAAGGAACAAGGGATAGAGCTTTGATGTTTGCTATATAATATCATCTATAGGTCCTCTACTAAAGTTGTTCAAATTTTTTCCCTGGTGTCAAAATTGACCCTGCCCGGGGGCAGTGATTCTCATTATGTACACATAGTAAAAACAGAAAATAAAACAAATGTTTTCTGAATGGGAGAAAGCTACAGCTTAGATATTTGACTTGAAATGTTATTTGGTGGACCTGTATCAAGATTGTTTTGAATTAAACCCTTGGGTCCAAAATTTTGCCTTGCCCAAGTTGACAGTGACCTACTTTCTTGTCCTTTGATGTACAGCAATGAAATTTTGACCATGTGCACAGTTTTAGTTGTAAAACTGAACTTTGATATCAGGTGACCTAGATTTTGTTGATGTGACCTACTTTCTTGTCCTTTGATGTACAGCTATGAAATTTGAACCCTGTGCACAGATTAAGATGTAAAGTGAACTTTGATTTCAGCTGACCTAGATTTTGACAAAGTGTCTTACTGTGTTGTCCTTTTGATGTAGTCATGAAATTTAGGCTGTGTGAAATATGACCTTCACCACCAAATTCACTAGACTCGAGTGCATTGATATATTCCTACTCTGATCTTTTATTGAGTTAACATTTAATTTAACCACTTATCTGATAATAAGAGTAAGATAGGTCAGGGATCTATGCTTTATGACAATCTTCAAAATTGTAAAGAAACAAAAAAAATCTGTTCCTACACTACTATTTAGTGTTGTATTATTGCGGTGGCATAGCATTTTTCTCAAATGCAATCTTGTTTAAGTGTGTTTTATTAAAACAGACTAACTTAGAACATTTTAAATTTTGGAAATATCTTTAAAAATAAAAAAGTTATGAAAGTTTGAAGTTTGTGAAATGTCGTGATTTTCTGGAACATTGTACCGATATATTATATATATCTGCAGCCGTCTGAAATAGTGCATTAAACCTATTGTCTCGGTAATTACCAATAATGGACTTTAACCCTTTCTGTGCACAATACCGTATAAGTACTTTTTCTGCGGGAACTTTATTTCTGCTATTTCTGCGGTTGATAACGACACCAACAGATTTAAAAACCGCAGAAAATTAAACCTGAATTCCTTTTGTATATGTCGAAATATTTCAACTATCGGGATAGTATATGTATATGTGTCGTTATCGGCTTTTGTAGATTTAGGATTTTTTTCTTTTTGTATCCGCCATACACAAAATATTAGAAAAAACTTTCTTTGCATGTTCTTTTTGTTGAACTAAATAGTTATCATGTTGGTATGATTTTCGCTCACCCCAATCTTGATGGTTTTGTTTGTGAAAAGTTTTTTTTTTTTTAAAAACTGTGATAGTTTGACAGTTGATGCAAAAATGACCCTTGTTTGTTATATTCATTAAAATCTGCTATAAACATACCTTTTATGTATTTGTACAATATATTGTGTTGACGTACGATTTTTCCATTGTTGTTTTTTCACACATTATATTTATGAAAATTTAACAGCGTTAAAATTTGCCATTGCATGTTGTTTTTTTCAAAGTGTATATACCGATACATATTGATTACAACGTAACACATTATCAGTCGTCGAAGTAATGTAATAACTGTTGTATGTTTTTATCGGTTAAATTTGTGGCAAATATCTCAGTTAAAACGCACAAATAAAATGCATCAATGACACCGCAGAAATAAGATACGCAGAAATTTAAAACCCCTTATTTTAACAAAAATCGCAGAATATTAAGCCCGCAGAAATAAGTTCTTACACGGTAAGCCTCCCAACGGTAACGAAGTCCAATATGGTCACCTGCTGGACCAAATGTATCTGATGTTGTTCTTACAACTCGTCCCACAACAGTTTTCTTTCTTACTCCATGTATTAAATACAGAAGGTGTGTCACGACCTAAAGGACCTCTTTCATTTTTAAGTTTTTGTTCATAGTCTTTTATCTCCGGTGTAACATTATTTTGTAAACCAAGTAACACATGAGCCATGCAATGATAATGGAGCACTTCAGTTTTTTCCCCTTCATAGTCCTTCAACATCGCATCTCTCCACTCATCCAGAAGTTTGTCAGCCAATTTTTCATTTGATGCTCTGTCACTCATTGTGAAAGATAATTTGTTTAAAGTTTCGGACAGGTAAGCGGAATTTCCATTCATCTTAGAGAGTTCAGTTAAATGATCTTCAGTTACAGCTTGTATTGTCTTGGCCCTGTGCACAGATTAAGATGTAAAGTGAACTTTGATTTCAGCTGACCTAGATTTTGACAAAGTGTCTTACTGTGTTGTCCTTTTGATGTAGTCATGAAATTTAGGCTGTGTGAAATATGACCTTCACCACCAAATTCACTAGACTCGAGTGCATTGATATATTCCTACTCTGATCTTTTATTGAGTTAACATTTAATTTAACCACTTATCTGATAATAAGAGTAAGATAGGTCAGGGATCTATGCTTTATGACAATCTTCAAAATTGTAAAGAAACAAAAAAAATCTGTTCCTACACTACTATTTAGTGTTGTATTATTGCGGTGGCATAGCATTTTTCTCAAATGCAATCTTGTTTAAGTGTGTTTTATTAAAACAGACTAACTTAGAACATTTTAAATTTTGGAAATATCTTTAAAAATAAAAAAGTTATGAAAGTTTGAAGTTTGTGAAATGTCGTGATTTTCTGGAACATTGTACCGATATATTATATAGGAAAATGATTCGAGTTCGCGGACCCGAGCAAGTGAAATTTTTATTAAAAATTTCATAACTTTTTATACGCCCGTTTGAAAAAAGGGACGTATTATGGGAACGCCCCTGGCGGTTGGGCGGGCGGCGTCCAATTTTGTCCGGAGCATATCTCCTACATGTATGGAGGGATTTTAATGAAACTTCATAGAAATGTTCACCACTTGTGACTATGAGGAGCAGTGTTGCGCACATGAACCAGGTCTCTAGGTCGAAGGTCAAGGTCACACTTAGAGCTCATTGAAAAATGCTTGTCCGGAGCAAAACTTCCACATGTATAGAGGGATTTCAATATTACTTGGCACAAATGTTCACCATTGTGAGGCGGAGTGTCGCGCGCAAGATTCAGGTCCTTGCGGCCAAGGTCAAGGTCACACATAGAGGTCAAAGTTCAGATAAAAATATGAAGATGTGTATATGGGCCATTTAGTCATCATTTATTGAGGGATTGTAACACAAATGGTCATTATCAAGACTATGGCTGTGATACATATAATTTAGGTCAATATATACAAGGTCAAGGTCACTAAAGATGATGAAATATCCAGATTTTGTCCGGAGCATATCTCCTACACGCATGGAGGGATTTTAATGAAATTTCATAGAAATGTTCACCATTATGAGAAGCCATGTCAGGCACATGAACTAGGTCTCTAGGTCAAAGGTCAAGGTCACACTTAGAGCTCATTGAAAAACACTTGTCCGGAGCAAAACTTCCACATGCAATGAGGGATTTCAATATAACTTGGCACAAATGTTCACCATTGTGAGGCGGAGTGTAGTGCACAAAATTCAGGTCCCTGCAGCCAAGGTCAAGGTCACACACAGAGGTCAAAGTTTAGATAAAAATATGAAGATGTGTATAGGGACGATTTAATCATCATTTATTGAGGGATTGTAACACAAATGGTCATTATCATGACTATGGCTGTGACACATGTACTTATGGTCAATATATGCAAGGTCAAGGTCACTAAAGATGGTGAAATATCCAGATTTTGTCTGGAGCATATCTCCTACATGTATGGAAGAATTTTTATAATACTTTATGGAAATGTTCACCACCATGATATGTATTGCTCCATGCATGATCCAGGTCTCCAGGTCAAAGGTCAAGGTCACACTTAGAGCTCATTGAAAAACGCTTGTCCGGAGCAAACTTCTACATTCATAGGGGGATTTCAATATAACTTGGCACAAATGTTCACCATTGTAAGGCTGAGTGTCGCACGCAAAATTCAGATCCCTGTGACCAAAGTCAAGGTTACACATAGAGGTCAAAGTTCAGATAAAAAATTTGAAGATGTGTATAGGGACCATTTAGTCATCATTTATTGATGGATTGTAGCACAAATGGTAACTATCATGACTACAGGTGTGACACATTTAATTTAGATTAATATTTGCAAGGTCAAGGTCACTGGAGATGATTAAATATCCAGATGTTGTCCGGAGCATATTTTTCTACATGCATGGAGGAATTTTAATGTTACTTTATAGAATTGTTCACCACCATGAGACGTAGTGCCCTGCACATGAACCAAGTCTCTAGGTCAAAGGTGAAGGTCACAGTTAGAGCTCATAGAAAAACGCTTGTCTGGAGCAAAACTTCTACATGCATAGAGGGATTTCAATATAACTTGGCACAAATGTTCACCATTGTGAGGCGGAGTGTAGTGCACAAAATTCAGGTCCCTGCAGCCAAGGTCAAGGTCACACACAGAGGTCAAAGTTTAGATAAAAATATGAAGATGTGTATAGGGACGATTTAATCATCATTTATTGAGGGATTGTAACACAAATGGTCATTATCATGACTATGGCTGTGACACATGTAATTATGGTCAATATATGCAAGGTCAAGGTCACTAAAGATGGTGAAATATCCAGATTTTGTCTGGAGCATATCTCCTACATGTATGGAAGAATTTTTATAATACTTTATGGAAATGTTCACCACCATGATATGTATTGCTCCATGCATGATCCAGGTCTCCAGGTCAAAGGTCAAGGTCACACTTAGAGCTCATTGAAAAACGCTTGTCCGGAGCAAACTTCTACATTCATAGGGGGATTTCAATATAACTTGGCACAAATGTTCACCATTGTAAGGCTGAGTGTCGCACGCAAAATTCAGATCCCTGTGACCAAAGTCAAGGTTACACATAGAGGTCAAAGTTCAGATAAAAAATTTGAAGATGTGTATAGGGACCATTTAGTCATCATTTATTGATGGATTGTAGCACAAATGGTAACTATCATGACTACAGGTGTGACACATTTAATTTAGATTAATATTTGCAAGGTCAAGGTCACTGGAGATGATTAAATATCCAGATGTTGTCCGGAGCATATTTTCTACATGCATGGAGGAATTTTAATGTTACTTTATAGAATTGTTCACCACCATGAGACGTAGTGCCCTGCACATGAACCAAGTCTCTAGGTCAAAGGTGAAGGTCACAGTTAGAGCTCATAAAAAAACGCTTGTCTGGAGCAAAACTTCTACATGCATAGAGGGATTTCAATATAACTTGGCACAAATGTTCACCATTGTGAGGCGGAGTGTAGTGCACAAAATTCAGGTCCCTGCAGCCAAGGTCAAGGTCACACACAGAGGTCAAAGTTTAGATAAAAATATGAAGATGTGTATAGGGACGATTTAATCATCATTTATTGAGGGATTGTAACACAAATGGTCATTATCATGACTATGGCTGTGACACATGTAATTATGGTCAATATATGCAAGGTCAAGGTCACTAAAGATGGTGAAATATCCAGATTTTGTCTGGAGCATATCTCCTACATGTATGGAAGAATTTTTATAATACTTTATGGAAATGTTCACCACAATGATATGTATTGCTCCATGCATGATCCAGGTCTCCAGGTCAAAGGTCAAGGTCACACTTAGAGCTCATTGAAAAACGCTTGTCCGGAGCAAACTTCTACATTCATAGGGGGATTTCAATATAACTTGGCACAAATGTTCACCATTGTAAGGCTGAGTGTCGCACGCAAAATTCAGATCCTGTGACCAAAGTCAAGGTTACACATAGAGGTCAAAGTTCAGATAAAAAATTTGAAGATGTGTATAGGGACCATTTAGTCATCATTTATTGATGGATTGTAGCACAAATGGTAACTATCATGACTACAGGTGTGACACATTTAATTTAGATTAATATTTGCAAGGTCAAGGTCACTGGAGATGATTAAATATCCAGATGTTGTCCGGAGCATATTTTCTACATGCATGGAGGAATTTTAATGTTACTTTATAGAATTGTTCACCACCATGAGACGTAGTGCCCTGCACATGAACCAAGTCTCTAGGTCAAAGGTGAAGGTCACCGTTAGAGCTCATAGAAAAACGCTTGTCTGGAGCAAAACTTCTACATGCATAGAGGGATTTCAATATAATTTGGCACAAATGTTCATCATTGTGAGGCTGAGTGCCGTGCATAAAATTCAGGTCCCTGCGACCAAGGTCAAGGTCACACATCCTGTGCATATCTTCCCTACTGATTTGTTTTAAGGTTCATTTAACAACACTGTGAGTGCCAAGAAAAAATACTTGCTTGCTAGATAACACTTATCCATTATGCCCCCATCTCCATCTAAAGCTTTCGTAAACGGGCGTATTTTGTGACTATGGCACCCTTGTTTATTTATTAAGATAGTGTAATCAAACTTGGCATCTTATAGAATTTTGGTGTAGATTCCATTTCTGTACTCTGTTTTAATGTGTGAAAAACACTATTAACTCAAACTGATAGAAATATTCATGAAATTCATAATGAAAAATTAACATTTTTTTTTCAATTTTATTTTCACCGATAACAAGTTCAAATCATACACAAGCATTCATTTCATTTTCAAATCAAGTATATCTATCTTTTAAATAAGTATATATCACAGTGAATCTTCAATAAATACATATAATCACTGTCAGTGAATGATTATTCTAAAGTTTGTACCACTCTAAAGTTCTAGTAATGACAGGTATATTCTTTAGTAATTTTATTCACATAAATTGGTAAACAGTCATAGTATTCTCTTCAAATTGTCACAACTGTCATGAAGTGCTAACTGTTTTATGTTGTTGTAAATCAGTTTCATTCAATGTTAATATTTTTTCTTTAAATTTAACAGAAAAAAGTGGCATGAAACTTACTGTAAATTGTTTCAATTTGGTGATGTTCACGAATTAACCACTGTCGCCCAGAACTTATACAGTCGGGCATAAAGTTTTGTTTGATAATGAAAAGTTTATCTTGCCTTAATGGCCATTGATCATACCCTTTCTGTTTACAGGGGAGCATGAAATTAATGAGTACTTCATTTTCATTAATCAATTTTTCTATGCAACCAGGATACCAGTTATCTTGGTATGCAACTGCGACATATTGATTTACAGTCATTACTTTGATTTCTGGAAAACAGTCAACACTAACTTCTTTTCTTCTTTGTTTTGAATTATTAGGCTCGCATGATTTCGTCTTCCTCTTCTTTCCCTTAGATGTTTTCTCCTCCATCATGTTTTCATGGATGTCATTTAAAACCTTCTGTTCACTTTCCTTGTGCTTTCTCGCAATTTAACACCTTCCTTTCGTGCACTTGCCATCAATTGTTCTTTTTGTTTGCTGTCCATTTTTTCAATCCATTCCATTACATGTTTCCTGTTTCTTTTAAGCAATTGTACTGACATGTGGTAGTGGTAAGAAGCATTGGGGCGTCTCCTCTGGGATGAATCGAGGTCACCAAAATGGTGTTCACAGCCAAGGTTTGTTAGTGGAGCAAAGTTGGTGGGCTTTGGGTCTGCTGATGGTTGGTAAAATTTACCACCATGTAAAAAGTCTACAAGCTGCTTTCTAATACACTTAAGCAAAGCACGACTTAATATCAAGTCACGTGATTCATCATTAATGTCAAATAAAACTTCAACAAGACGGGCATGGTGGGGCACTTGTGCTATTTCTAAGGGATCGGATGTAGACCAGTGATGAGCACTTATAAACAATGTTTCTGGTGAACTTACACACTTGGTCAAAAATTCTTCAATTTCACCCACATGTTTGTCCAATCCAAGGTATGTCAGCTTACCACATGTAACAAGGTTCCAGTATGGTCCAGTAACTTTGACATAAAACAGTCCTAAAGACTGCAAGAGTGCACAAATCTCTACAGACTCTAAATCACTTTTAACTGCTGTTAGCTTGAGGTTTGTCTCAATACCTGGAGAAAGTCATCTCTATGCAGATAAACCTCTGCAGCCGTCTGAAATAGTGCATTAAACCTATTGTCTCGGTAATTACCAATAATGGACTTTAACCCTTTCTGTGCACAATACCGTATAAGTACTTTTTCTGCGGGAACTTTATTTCTGCTATTTCTGCGGTTGATAACGACACCACAGATTTAAAAACCGCAGAAAATTAAACCTGAATTCCTTTTGTATATGTCGAAATATTTCAACTATCGGGATAGTATATGTATATGTGTCGTTATCGGCTTTTGTAGATTTAGGATTTTTTTCTTTTTGTATCCGCCATACACAAAATATTAGAAAAAACTTTCTTTGCATGTTCTTTTTGTTGAACTAAATAGTTATCATGTTGGTATGATTTTCGCTCACCCCAATCTTGATGGTTTTGTTTGTGAAAAGTTTTTTTTTTTTAAAAACTGTGATAGTTTGACAGTTGATGCAAAAATGACCCTTGTTTGTTATATTCATTAAAATCTGCTATAAACATACCTTTTATGTATTTGTACAATATATTGTGTTGACGTACGATTTTTCCATTGTTGTTTTTCACACATTATATTTATGAAAATTTAACAGCGTTAAAATTTGCCATTGCATGTTGTTTTTTCAAAGTGTATATACCGATACATATTGATTACAACGTAACACATTATCAGTCGTCGAAGTAATGTAATAACTGTTGTATGTTTTTATCGGTTAAATTTGTGCAAATATCTCAGTTAAAACGCACAAATAAAATGCATCAATGACACCGCAGAAATAAGATACGCAGAAATTTAAAACCCCTTATTTTAACAAAAATCGCAGAATATTAAGCCCGCAGAAATAAGTTCTTACACGGTAAGCCTCCCAACGGTAACGAAGTCCAATATGGTCACCTGCTGGACCAAATGTATCTGATGTTGTTCTTACAACTCGTCCCACAACAGTTTCTTTCTTACTCCATGTATTAAATACAGAAGGTGTGTCACGACCTAAAGGACCTCTTTCATTTTTAAGTTTTTGTTCATAGTCTTTTATCTCCGGTGTAACATTATTTTGTAAACCAAGTAACACATGAGCCATGCAATGATAATGGAGCACTTCAGTTTTTTCCCCTTCATAGTCCTTCAACATCGCATCTCTCCACTCATCCAGAAGTTTGTCAGCCAATTTTTCATTTGATGCTCTGTCACTCATTGTGAAAGATAATTTGTTTAAAGTTTCGGACAGGTAAGCGGAATTTCCATTCATCTTAGAGAGTTCAGTTAAATGATCTTCAGTTACAGCTTGTATTGTCTTGGCCGTCTCTTGAGCAACTCGGGTAAAACCAAGGCTTACAATATCACCTGTATCAAGTGTCACTGAAGTATCTAGTATTTTTTGTTTTCTACGAGAAGTTCCATCACGGTTTAATCCCCAATTTTCACATTGCTCAAGTTTATCAGCTATAAATGTCTTTGTGATATAATGTCCTGCATCCACAATGGCTTGAGCAGTAGCAGGGTTAGGAAGCTGGTCTTTGCATAAGTCTATCCCACAAAGATGTTTCATGACACACTGAATAACTGGAGACATTTTCTCTACAGCTACTTCCAATCCAGCAAGTTTCTGTGACGTACACTTTCGTTGAAAATCCCTTTCTCATTTTTAGTTTCAATTGTCTCATTTTTCAACACAGATAGTGTTTCTTGTAGATCTTGAATTAATAGGTCTCTGTCCGCTTACTCTTCATCCTTCTGTACAACAGCTAGTTTCAATTAAACTAAATTGCTATTACACTCATCATGGTCAATCAAACTATTCAAAGACTTCATCTTTTCTCTGACTTCACTGATCTCACCTCTCATGTAACTATTAGCTTTCTGTAAAACCACTTTTTTTTTCTTTTTCTGTTTGCATTTGCATTTCAATTTTGTTCATACTTTCTTTGATGTTCTGGTTTTCTTTTTCAAGCATTCCGAGTCTGTCTTTCAGCTCTTGGTCTGATTTCTTGTAATTTTCTATTGTCTGCTTTAAAGCAAAATTTGTTTTTTCCAGTTTGATATTTGTTCTTTATGTGTCTCTGAGAAGGTGCAAATTTTTTCTAGCTGTTTCATCTCTTTTATTGACATTTTTCACAGAATAATGTCCAATTGATTCATCCTATTTTTTTCAAGAGAGCACATTTAGCATGTAATTTTTTTGTCATTAAGTTATTTTGTTTTTCAGCAATTCAGTCTCATTTTTAACTCCTTTCACTATCTTCTTATGGAGTAGTTTACTTTTCTGATTTTTTAAATAGTTTAATTTGTTTACAATTGAAGCCACTGTTGCTTCTAAAAATTGCGGATTAATTTCAGCAAGAATATTAGCAAATTGAGCAGGCTTGTATTCATGTTTATCGCAGAAGGCTTTTAGCTCTAACGCAAGTCCATTAGTAATGTCAGTAACTTTTGGCAGAGGACCATGTACTATGTTCTGTTCTGTTATGCCCGCCAAATCGGAGAATGTTCCCAATGTAGACATAATGATAATTAGCAGCTGCTCAGTGTACCATAACTGAAATAAAAAATAATTAATTTGCCTATCAAGTGATCAACAAACAATTTCTAATATACCTGGGGTCAATATAGCCTTGCCCTCAGGAAAAAATGAAATGAAATATTTACTTGTGCTCATATAAATGTTGTAAATTGATAAGAAATAATTATTATAAGCAGATAATTATTTGGACTGTCAACATAATTACATGTATTATTCACAAACTTGTAAAGGTATAATTCAGCAGCTATATTTATTATAATAAATAAAGCATCAGTTTTGAAAGTAACAAGTTAAACACTAATTTTTTCTTTTAACATTTTTTGCTTTGACCATTTAAGGGGTGCTGCTAATGTCAGATCTATGTTAAGTTACCATGAGGGGAACATACTCATTGTAATAATTGTTTGGATCAGGATATCTGTCTCTAATGACCCATGTGACACATGATGGTACTGGCCTCCATTCTCCTTGTCCTAACTTTCCACAGTGTAAAAGAACATACTGCCGATAGGTAGCATGTCTCATGCTAGCATTTACATCTTCCTCTAATGCAGCAAGGCATGCAAACACATCATTTCTGTATAGTTGTTACAACTGTAACACACATGGATCTGTTATAGTCAAATCCATTTCCTGAAATTTAAAATCACACACTTTTAAATAGCCAGCAAGGTACTAACAATGAATTTTTGTTTATTTTCACTTTGTTTCATAGAAACTTTACCTGTATTCTAGAGTGGGGTTCTAACTTTATATTTACTGGTATCACTTTTAAAGCATTTTCAGGTAGAAAATACAAAATGTAAGTTACACTCCAATTTGATATAGCATCTCAAGTGTTATAAGATAAATATATTGAAGCATTTACAGGCATTATACTGTGGCAGAGCTCAGGTCTCATGCCACAGCAAACACGGGATGAATCAGTAGGCATTTCCCGGCATCTTCCACAAACACACCAATGTGGCTGATCAGTTAGGCTCCTCTGGTCCTGTTGAGGAAGGACTCTCTTCTATCTGTAACTGATCTGTTACATCAATAACTAAAGATGGCATCTTTTCAGCCACTGCCTTCAATATCTTTCTCTTCCTCTTGACAGTCTGTCAACAAGGTTGATATAATTGCTTTTTGTCTTTATTTGGCTTAAATTACACTTCATATTGTTGTCTTGATTTTTAAAAAATTTACAATTGAAAACCTTTTTTTACTATATTATGTATGTCAGTTATGCCATATAGAAGCATGTTGTGCTTTATTTTCAGTTAACAGTTTACAATATTGTCTTTAAATTTTTACTGATTCAGATTGAAGGTCAATGTGGTAAAGGCAAACTTACATCAGCTTTCCCTCGTGCTCTTCCCCTTCCACGAGCACCACCCTTGCCTCGAGCACTTGTTGAAGTTGAACTTCTTCTGCCCTCATTCTTTTCCCATCCCTCAGGTGTTTAACTTCATCACTGCCTAAATGTAAGGTTCCTGTCTGCTTCCTCTTTGCTCGTGCTCTGCTCCTTCAACATGCACTACCTTTGTCTCGAGCACTCGTTGATTTACCTCTGCCTCGTCCTTTCCCCTCCCTCTCTGGTAAATTACTGGCTCATAATCAGTTGTTGAGTCTGAATTTGTTGAAACTGATTTCTGTGAAATACAAAGTTATAAATTGACATTTCACACGGATACAATAAATCATATACTCTTCGTGTTTAACTTCATCACAGCCTTAATGAAAGGTTCCTGTCTGCTACCTCTTCCTCCGCTCAAACGACATGCACTACCTTTGCCTCAAGCACTTGTTGAACCACTTCTGTCTCGTCCTTAAAGCCTGCTTACTTCATCACAGCCTTAATGAAAGGTTCCTGTCTGCCTCCTCTTCCCTGTTGCTTTTCCCCTTCCACGAGCACCACCCTTGCCTCGAGAACTTGTTGAAGTTGAACTTCTTCTGCCCTAGTCCTTTTCCCATCCCTCACTAGCTAATTACTGGCTCATTATCAGTTGTTGAGTCTGAATTTGTTGAAACTGAACTCTGTGAAATACAAAATCAAAAGTTGACAATTCACATTGATAAATAATTCATGTTTTTGTTCACTTCTTTTTTAAACATTTTCTTTTTGTCTAAATGACTTACATTGTGTAGTTTTTTCCTTGGATAATTTTGTTGTAATACAAATTTCCAGCTTTTGCTGCTCATTGCTTTTTCTAGCAGATATTAGCCGTGCTTTTTCTTTCACTTTGAATGCTTGATTCTGTCTACATTTCTGTTCTAATATGTGCTATTTGTTGCTCTTTCGAGCTAATGGTTTTAGAGTGTTTTCTTTTTTTCGACACTGCTTTTTCTAGCTAGTGTGGTCCTTTTTTCAATATATATTACTTTGTCTAATTAAGTTTTAACATAGAATTTTTGTTCCGATCCGTTCCATCAGCTGCTGTTTTTCACTTATCTCCTACTATTCTTTTTCTTATTCTTTGTACATGTAATTCTCTAAATGCTTGACACTGTTTGGCTTTAATCGAAGCTTTCATGTGTGTTTCAATATAACACATATTGTCACCTGAGTGCAGTAATGGGTTAAGTCCTAAATTAAATAGGATAATATAAATGGATGGTCATGTAACTTAAAACTTAACAGAAGAAAACTAAGAGTTCATTAAAATTATAACAATAGAATGTGAGGTTTTCTATTTAAATAAAAATAAATTAGCAAAATAAATTTTCCCTTATTTCATCACATATCTGATTTGTGTATGATAACCTTTCAATTCTTGCACTGATTTTGTTAACATTTTTCAAATAAGTTTGTTATATCAGTGTTACTTTGCCATGTTGAAAAGGATTATTTTTGACAACAGATCTATCTATGATTTAAACTGCTTTACTCCTCAGTAGTAAATGAGCCGTGTCACGACAAAACCAACATAATGGGTTTGCGACCAGCATGGATCCAGACCAGCCTGCGCATCCGCGCAGTCTGATCAGGATCCATGCTGTTCGCTTACAAACCCCATTACAAGTAGAGAAACTGATAGCGAACAACATAGATCCTGATCAGACTGCGCGGAGGCGCAGGCTGGTCTTGATCCATGCTGGTCGCAAACCCAACATGTTGGTTTTGTCATGACACGGCTCAAATCATTTTTGATTTGATCATAAGTCATGGTGGACAGTTGAGGCAGGTACTCCTCAAAGGTTGTTATTTTAGTCTTTGTTTTTACATGTAACTTCGGCAACCATCTGCTTGTTTAATGATGCTGTCTTCATTTTTTCCACGCTGCTAGCAACAAACTACTGGCAATATTTCATTAACAATAATCTGTTTGTTACAGTAATTACAATACTTACCAGCTGTCACAATTACACAGATCTCTGTGCCATCTGCTATCTTCAGTAGCAATTTTGTGAGCTGGCTCATTAATAGGTGTTGATATTAGGATCACTTTTGTTGTAAGGTTCACATGTAACTAAAAAAAAGAAATTAAAAATTATGTAGTTGTATAAATGCTTTTTTTTAATTGACTTAAGAAATATGCATAAAAGATGGTCATTTAAGGTTAAACGAAAGTAGCAATTAACACTTGTCATAATGGATGAATGTCATGAGTTCAGGATTGCATAATGAGAAAAAATTCTAAGCAACCGCATAAATACAACACTAAATAGTTAAAACATAAATAGATCATTTGTGTGAAGGTGATTCTAAAGGAAATTTTATAGCATAAATGGCCTTAAAACCTCATGAAGGCTGTGGTACACTGATCTATAGATTTTTTTTTTTTTTTGACAGAGGGGACAAGATTAAGTTTCCCATTTAAGTGGTCAAAAGATAAATGAGCCGCGTCACGACAAAACCAACATAATGTGTTTGCGACCAGCATGGATCCAGACCAGCCTGCACCTCTGCGCAGTCTGACCAGGATCCATGCTGTTCGCTTACAAACCCAATTACAAGTAGAGAAACTGATAGCGAACAGCATGGATCCTGATCAGACTGCGCAGGCTGGTCTGGATCCATGCTGGTCGCAAACCCACTATGTTGGTTTTGTCATGACACGGCTCAAATGCAAAGGGGACACATCCTGTTCATGTCCCCAAGATACTGGCAACAATGAACCAAAATCCACACATTTGTTTCTCCATATTCATTTTTGAATTCTTTATGGAATTTGTGAGGAAATTAGAGCATCTTAAGTGGAAAAAGAATGTCCTTCATAACCTGTCAAATCAAGACATCGTCTAAAAGATCATAATATCTCTCTCCGACAAACTTTCTGAGGCTGATGAAGCCGTGTCCATGTCCTTATTGAACCTCTACTAAGGGGAGGAGGTGACCTTTTTCTTTTCTAATCATGCTAAAGTGTCTTTAAATAATCTTAACTGTTGAAAAAAAAGAAGAAATATACATTTAATTGTTTTAATAAAGATAATCACCAATTATATATTTCATTAAATCCTGTTATGGGCATGAAACCCATTTTCGTATGGATAGCAGTTTGACAAAAGGGCAGCATGAAAAGTAGTCATTGCCCGTACCTAAAATTCTGTATGCATGCGATCCAAAAGATCAGCCCGACAGAGCTCCTCCAACTCTTTAATTGCTGCTTTATTGAGTCTGTATCGGGAAATGACTTCTCGATCGGTTAAATCATCAATATTTACCGTTCGTTGCCCAAAACAGCGTGATTTTCGTCAGCGGCGTTCGTTTACAAGTAGTAAGGCGGCCATTTTGTTTGATCTGCCACTGCTTCTCAGCGATCGCAGAAAAAATGCATGATCTTAGGATAATCGTACGATTATGAAAGTCTGCGACGTTTGATAAGACAACGCCAAAATCGTACGATCGACGTACGACAATCGTACCATATAAACGATTGTACGACCATTGATAAGACGGGGCCCCTGGTGCTTGCTAACTGATACGGTATTGAGACCAATTAAGCATTGCTATTGTTTTTAGAGGCTAAGTCCCAAACTTATTCTCCATACTTCATGAGAGCAGGCATTTTTAAAGGAAATTTTATAGCATACATGTAGATGGCCACAAACCTCATGAAGGCTGTGGTCCACTGATCTTAAGTTAATTATAGAAGTTTGTTTAAAATTGACAGTGGGGACAAGATTAAGTAAATAAGTTTCCCATTTAAGTGGTCAAAAGATAAACTCAAAGGGAACGCATCCAGATCACGGCCCCTGGTAAAGATACTGGCAAGAATGAACCAAAATCCACACATTTGTTTTTCCATATTCGTTTTTTTAAATTCTTTTCTAAATTTGTGAGGAAAATTGGAGCATCTAAAGGGGAAAAGAACTGTCCTTCATTATCTATCAAATCATGAACATTTGATTTTAGAACATCATCTAAAAAAACCATTATCTCTCTCCCAGGAACTTTCTGAGGTTTATGAAACCATGTCCAATTTGTCCTCACTTGAACCTCCTAATCACTGCCGTATCACCATATTGCTTGATCAACACAAAGGAAAATAAACTTTCATATTAATTTGATTGGCCCCTTATATAGGGGCCACTCAAAGGTTAAAATAGAAATACCTTTAAAGGTCTGCTTCTACAGAACTAATTGATGGATTATCACCAAACTTTGTCTGTAGCATTCTTACAAAGTCTTTTATCTTTTACTGAAAAGCAGATTTTCTGGTGAGCGACTCCTTTTATCTTTTACTGAAAAGCAGTTTTTCTGGTGAGCGACTCAGGGCCATCATGACCCTCTTGTTTTTAAATAAGATCTAGTTGTTCAAAGTACTTGTTAAATATTTGCTCACAATATTTTCACATTAGAGACATAGAAAACCAAAATTTTTAATGTGAAACTAGCAAAAGTTATGCAGGTATAAAAGTTGTGTGCTTTGTTTCCTTGGTCAACAAAAAGAGCGAGTGCCCATGTGCGACTTTATCCAAATATTGTCATGCGTAATACATCTAGCTTACTGTAAAATTTAATACTCTAAACCTAAGTACTATAACTCAAAGAGTTAAAAGCAGAATCCGCCAAAATTTATACAAACCATTAAGCCATAAAGCGATTTATGATAATAAAATTTATTACAAATTTGTTAAAACTAATATACAAACTGATGTATATTGAATGTTTATACTAGAAGTATATTAGCTAAATGTAAATGTATGTACAGGTGAAGAATTTGTGATATCTTATTTTTTTTTAATGTGTTTTTTGTTTAAATGTTGATTATTTATTTGATTGTTCTTACTTTAATAAACAGTTAAATGATAATGTATTTTGTTTTTTTATTGGATTTATTTTTACACTCAAATAATGGGCAGAGGTCATTCTTCTGAAACATCCTCATATTGGAACCAAAAGTGATCAGCCTACCCGGCTGTGTATTTTCCAAGGTTTTCAAGAAAAATCATGGAAAAAACCATGGAAGTCCAAGCTTTAATGGCAGTTTTACTAGGAATCCTTGGACAATGTTGCAGTTGTCCAAGGTGAAAGGGTTTTTTTCTAACTTTTCCTTGGACATATTCCATGGTTGTCTGAAAAATTCCTAGGAATCGCTTGGACAATACCTGGGAAAGTAAAACATAGTTTTTTTCAAGCTGGGAAAATGAACACATTCAGATACTTAGAAAATTTTTAGTTTGGAATTCACTTGGAACGAAACACTTAGAAAATTTTCAGCTTGGACAAAGGACTCAGGCAATTTTTCTTTCATTTTTTCAATCATCCTAATGATAATGAATAATGAATTATTTACATTTATTGTCATTATGATGTGCTAGAAGGAAAAGAATATTTAATCCTTTTCAGAAGATATAAATAGATATTTTAAAGAAATATGATCATTTATTGATTTTTGTATTTAATTATTAAATATAAAGTTATTAAAAATATCAAATATAATTATACATGTACATGCATACATATGTATAATACATACATGTAACATTTTTAATACAGTATGGAAAATGTTCTGTTGGTTTCTAAGTTTCTAAATGCATTAGTATCTTCCCTGCAGTTTGTATCTTTAGACTTTTTTATTTCTTGACAGCATGTAAGCAACAGTTAAATAATTTTAGAATGCTATTAAACTTTAATATAAGAGTATATGATTTTGTGCCATATAAAATAGTACATTCTCTGAATATTTGTAGACATACATTTAGATTACACTTCACTCTGCCACTTAGTTTATGTGTACAATAAACACATAAATTATATAATAATTATTGCCCATTATATTATATATAATATGCAAAATTTGTTAAATATAATAACCAGCTTGCCTGATAATTTCTTTAAGTCAGGATAAATAAATACTGCAAACAGCAGAATATAACACACAGATCAGATAAGACTAATGATTACCATCTGCCCTTCCTTCTATCTATGCATGACTAATCTGACCTCATGGGGCATTCTGGGATACTGACCGGACTGTTCCATGTGATTATTAAGGGAATCTGAGCATGATACATTTGTAAAAAAATCAGTTTAGAAGGACATTAAAACTTTGATTTTTTACACACTTATTATTATTTTCAAATTCTACATTTATTTATCATTTGATATGTTTATACATTCAATAAATGTAAAAATATAATGATGGATGTTATGATTTTTTTTTTTGATAATCCCTATTTCACATTATGATAGACCTGTCCAGACTGAAACCGTTGCAAAATTTGAAATCTCAGACATTCAGTGCTAACCATAAAGGATCTAAGTGGCATTCTAGCTATTTTGGAGATATCATCTTGTTTTTGAATGTTGTGTACATTATTGTGGAATTTTCAAAGAAAACATTTATCTAAATGTGGAATTGTTTGGTTGTTGTAATTGAACTAAGAATGACCTGAGACAGGAAGTTATGCAAGAATCATAGTAAACAGTTTCAGGTAAATAACTTTTAGATACATTTATGCAGAAAAATGGTGATTTTAAACAATCAAAATATGTTATGGCAGCAAGCAAAAATGTTTCTATAAAATAAGGTTGATAAAATTATGCTGTGAATAATTATTTGATAATTAGATCTAGATTTATTACCAAAATTATTTAATTATTTCTATACTGAGTCAGTTATTTGTTTAATTTACTTTTAACTGAAATTCCAAGTTAGTATGCTCAACTTAAATTTTGAAGATAAAAAGTTTAAATTAAGGAGAATTCAATGCATTTAATGTTAAAATAGACTAGATATACTGAAACTTTGCTAACTTAAGTTATATTATTCCAGGAACAGCTGTATGGATATGTAAAGTACAGTGATGACTTCTCAAAAGCCAGCAAGCTCCTGTTCAGAAAACTTTATAGTGTTGAAGAATACAGGGGCAGGTGTTTTACTGGCAACAGTACCAACACTAAAACCAAAATCAATTAAGGCCAGCATTGGAGGACACAATATTACTGAAAGTCTTTCATGGTTTGTATAATTTTATTTCCTAGAATTGTAATCAAATTTGAACATATTAACCTTTCATTGCAGTATTTTACAGTTTTACGCAGCATTAAGTTGCAACTAATGTAGTTAAACTCTATAATGTCCTTATAAATAGTTATTCTCTGTATTAATAAGGAAGTCTTATATTTTGTTCTTTTAACCTACTGAGTGCTTATTCCCTTGATAATGATAATAGTGCATAGGAAATATAAAATTATGTTGTCGTTTAAAATATATTGTTTAAGACTTGCATTCCTCATTTGTTACTACATGTATAATTAAGTGTTTTGAATAGAGTTTTTTAATGGCAATTTAATTTTTATTTCAGAGTTGATCAAGAGAAAATGACCATAATAATGTGACTTTTGAAGCTGTCCAGAAATTGACATTGACATTGATGTTACCAAGAGGAATAAAAATTGTTTTAATAGTTATAATATTTTATGTTTTGTATTCTACCAGTGTTACATATAGTGTTTAAAAGTGATGGAGGGCGAGTTTATCAATATGTCAGGGATTAAGGCAACTAGTTATAAGAATGATGAAAATTCCATATCTCAAAGGGGCTATTGTAAGAAAGCACAGAAATTACAAGCATCAAAGATACAGCGTCTATGGCTTTGCAAGATCATGAAGATGTCCTAGTATTTTCCCAGGTTTTCCAAGGTTTTTTTCACTTGAAGAACCTTGGACAATTCCAAGGAAAATAACATTGGACTTCCATGGAAATGTCCAAGCTTTCCGAGGATGTCTATGTAAATGTCCAAGCTTTCCAAGGATGTCCAATGAAAAAACCTTGGTCCCAATACTCCAAGGTTTCCAAGGTTTATGGCATATGTTCATGGAAACCTTGTACAAGCTCCAAGGTTTCCAAGCATTAGTCCAAGCATTTGTCCTAGGAAAGACCCTGCCATTTTTGTTCTTAATTTACTCTTATTGTATTGAAAAAGTATACCCAATACTCCAAGGTTTTTTCCATGAAAAATTCCCTGATATTGTCCAAGGAAACCTTGGAAATTGTACAGCCGGGTATGTCACTATTATAGTCAGGGCCGGCAAAATCAATTGTCCGTATTGTCCAGGTTGTCCCACAGCCTGTACGGACAAGTGCAAATTTCAAGAATTAATTATGTAAATATCATATGGACAAGTTAAAAACTGCTTCACATAAAAACGGACAGGTTAGTCAAAATCCGATTTTGCCAGCCCTGAATTAGTGTAAGCCAGCTTGTGGTGAAATTTAAAAACCAATGCCACTCAACAGTTTTTTTTTACTCCAAAAGGGTGGCATATTATAATCGCACCATCCACCTGTCTGTCCGTCCGTGCATGCCCACTTACAAAACATGTCTGAACTGTAATTTTGTCGTGAATTGAGGGATTTTAAAATAATTTGGCATAAATGATTACCACATCAAGACAGTGTGTCACATCAAAGAACCACATCCCTAACTTAAAGTTCAATGTCTTACATACAGTTTGAAGGTTCACATCCAGTCATAATTAGAGTTTAAAGGTACACACATTTGCGTTCAAACTGAAGGATTTTAGAATAATTTTGTATAAATGTCAACCAAATCAAGACAACTTGTTGAGTCTAAGACCCATGCCACAATCTAAAAGGTCAAGGTCACTCTTAAAGGTTTAAGGTACACAAGTTACACAACAATCCTGTCTGAATTGTAACCTTGTCATGCATTGAAGGATTTTAAAATAACTTGGCACAAATATCAAACACATGATGTTGTGTCATATTGAAGAACCTCAAAGGTCAATGTCACACAGTATGAAGGTTCACATTCTCACAATTTAAGTTTAAAGGTACACTCTTGTGTCCAGATTGTAACTTTGTCATGCACTGAAGGATTTTAAAATAATGTCGCAAATTTCAAGACGTGTCACTTCCATGACCCATGTCCCTAAATCCTCCAAGGTCAAGGTGGTAAGTTTGCTATGAATAGCACTTTATTCAACAAAAACAATGTAAAGTAATTACTTTAGCAATTAGTTTTACTTTGGTTATCTTTTCTTTTCATAATACCTTTCGTCAATGCTTAAGAAACCTTTTTCAGTGGCATTTGTCATTTTGTGCGACTGCTCTTGTTTTTATATTGATAAAGAAGTATCTTCATTAAAGTTTTTTTTCTAAGTTTTGCCTTCTTTGTATTTCTATACTATTCAGTGGAAGAGCATGCTGTCTTCTTTGACAGCTCTTGTTAATAAAATTGATAAATTCAATTTCTAGATATCTAGAGAACATTCTAAATCGACATTACCTACAATATTTTAATGATATAATTGACTGCTGGCATGACAAATAAACCCTTGTCAACATTAATACACATGACAAACAAATCAGCCCTGTCACGACAAAACCAACATATTGGGTTTGCGACCAGCATGGATCCAGACCAGCCTGCGCAGTCTGATCAGGATCCATGCTGTTTGCTATCAGTTTCTCTACTTGTAATAGGGTTTGCAAGCGAACAGCATGGATCCTGGTCAGACTGTGCGGATGCGCAGGCTGGTCTGGATCCATGCTGGTCGCAAACCCATTAAGTTGGTTTTGTCGTGATGCACTCAAATAAAGAAGCAACAAGAGTTCTCGTATTATCTTTGTATTGCATAGCAGAATACTGACTAGCCTTAACAAATGTATATAAATTGTTACAGATAATCTGGCACAACTATTATAACAAATTACATTTATTAATAACATCACATCCTAATTACATTTATTAATAACATTACATTTTAATTACATTTATTGATTAACTTTATTTTGTTTCTAAAATAAAGACCTTTTCGAAATATTATGAAAGGGTGTTAAAACACAAATAAACTATAGGAGGTAATCGTAAACTAAATTATTCATGTTAGTTTAGTTTAAACAAATTTATTTTAGTTTATTTGTGTTGGAACCTACAAGCGTATTGAAACACTCATGAATCCGTTCCTGAAACCAACCAGTACTAAGCAATGAGTGTAAAGTTTCTTGCTCAAGGAAGCAACGGCTTGTCCCTGACAGTGTTTAAACCTATGCGGTCAGCAACCCATAGATTACTAAACCGACAGGCTAACCACTTGGCCATGTCACCACTATTATTCATATTAAATAAAGGGGGCCTATCAAAAATAAATTACATCTTCCCCTGATCAGTACAGAATTGCCTTGCACCACAAGTAAAATTTTGACTGTTAAAAAAATATGTGATTAATATATGTTGCAATAACCTGTTGAGCTTAAATAAATATCAAACCAAGTAACATTACCTCAATTTTCTCAAGGGAGGTCATCATCAATGAACTGAGACACTAAAATTATGTCAAGGGATGTAATTACATGTAGTACTAATCTTAGCATAAAGGAGATAATGATAAAATAATGAATGAAAATAATAAAGGGAGGTAATCATTAGTTTTTGATATGTAAGAAATATAAACTTTGATTTTGATTTGTAAAAAATATAAACTTTGATTATCTGTCAAATTGCAATACATGACTACTTAATTACAACACTTTGAGTTAACTTTTCAAAGAAACTTTTTCCAAAGACCTCCCTTGTTGTCATGGTTTAGTTAAATCAAAACTTCAAAAGTATTTACATAGAGCAACATGTGAGGAAATATACCATCAGTTCACATAATTAAAAGAAATTTGACCACATTCAAAAGATTTACTGATGTTTTCTACAGTAATTTGCTTAAAAAAATACAGTTAAAAAATATTCTAAAGAAAACATTTTTCATTCCTGATTTAAATAAAAGTTACATAAAAATTGTCTGATCATCATTAATACACAATCATATGGAGTCGAAATTTCTCAAAGTCAAAATCTACACATACAAATATAAAGTTTTTTATGATAATCTTTTACTATACATGATTTGAAATTCATTGTGCATAGCATTCTTTTACATGGTCCCACATTGAAACATACAATTAACAGTTTTAAAAAATTCCTTATCAAAAGATTAACAATCCAATAAAATTATTTATCAAACATCAAAATTGTATATAAGAACATCACCTGAAGGTAAAACAATATTTATGAACACTAAATTACCCTTATGGTATATACAAGGGTCATCAATCAGTGATGACATGTGTCGCCTCATGATAGCCAATCGCATGTTGCAGCTACTGTGTAGCAGGAGACCCAAAAACCATTAACAGGGAAAAACACATTTTTTATTCAAGGGCAATAACTGGAACAAAAATCATTCAACCGGTAAACCCGTGCGATATGCCCAAGGACTTGAGCTACAGATCAATCCTGTAAAGTTTCACTAAAATTGCATTTGTGGTTTAAGAGGAGTAGTCCGGACAAACTTTAAAAATAAAAATTATTAAAGGGCCATAACTCTGACAAAAATCATTGGACCTGAAAATGCTAACGATATGCACAATTAAACTTGGTATTGATCATTCATGTAAAGTTTGGATGCAATTGCACCAGTAGTTTATGAGGAGTAGTCTGGACAAGTTTTGTGACAGACAGACAGACGACGGAGAAATGATCCCTATATGTCGCCACTACTCAGTAGAGTCGACGCAATAAGAAGCTGATTTTCGGAAAAATTTTCAGGAGCATAAATAAACTGTACAAAAACACTATCAATAGTAACAAAAGCCAAAATTATATGGTTTCAAAAATAAAAATTCAAAAGTATATATAAAAATCTTCAGCAAAATAGTGAAAATTTTGAAAAAGAACAACTTTTTCTGAACATTACAAGGTGGACAGTGTATGGAAAGAAAGAAGAAAACAAGCTTTACAAGTTGCCAGCACAAACATGTATGAGGGGTGATCGGGAAGTTTGCGGACTTATTGTATAGCTTCATTTTCATTTGATACATTACTATGAAAATTCAAATAAATTATGACCTTTTTCAGTCTACGAACCTCCCGATTACATCTCGTACTTTGTGAACACAATAAAGAGTTCCAGCTCAATATAATTACCTGAATTAATCTATAATAATATATAACAAATTTTGATCATCTATAATAAATTTGGACACATATTATAAATGAATTCTCACCATGATTATCAAAACTACTATGCCATGAATTTCATAGTTTCAAAAAAAAAAATATCTTTCAGTAACACCTTAAGATGTCTACAATGCTTCTTACTGCCACAAATTTCCAGTAACTTAATTAGGTAACATATGAGCCGCGTCATGACAAAACCAACATAATGGGTTTGTCAGCGAACAGCATGGATCCTGATCAGACTGCGCGGATGCGCAGGCTGATCTGGATCCATGCTGGTCGCAAACGCACTATGTTGGTTTTGTCGTGACGCGGCTCATATTATGATTATTTATGCAATGCAATATGAGGGCTGTTCAGAAAGTTCATAGACAAGACAAAATTTGTAAAACGTATGATATTGTTTAAGAGTAAAAAACGAAGAAGTACATGAACTTTCTAGACAAGCCCATTTACAAAAATTCATAGTACATTAAAGTTATTATAAATTCCTAAATTTTTATTATGATTGTACAGTATTTGTAGGAAATTTCTGATTACAAATGCTCAAATTTATCACTCCCGCCCATTTTCCCTCAAATTTACTATTATACCGTAAAATTCCAAATAAACGCCCCTCCCCTTATGAAGGCCCCCCTAGGCCTGATAAGGAAAACAATTTACTCATCAGTGCTGAACTCACAATTAAATCCATAATTTTATTCAAATCATTCAGAATCCATTTTATTTTATAGTAAACACAAATATGTATAATATGAACTTTAAAACCTCAACACTTTTTAATGTTATTACCAACACTTGCTAACACTAAATGAATTTACAGTGATTTTTGGATTTAGGAAAAACTGTGTTGTAATAATAACCCCCTTTTGGAAAATGTTTAGCCCCCCGGGGCATTCAATAGGAATTTTACGGTATCCAAAGTAAATACTTAGCAATTTATCACAATTTCGGGGAAAAATATTTTTAAAGAATTACTGAAACAAACCAAAATTATTAGTCCTAATATAAAACTATGATGATAATATAAATCTTTCTAGCACCTGCATAAAAGATCAATATATATATGTATAAATTCAACACATTTTGATTTCAACTCTAGCTATATTCTGTGTACTGTAATGGTGTAATCTTGGTCGACATATACTTGTGCACGTGTGGCCATATTTCGTTGGAATATTTTCCTTTAAATTCTTCTAAAATTCCATGTTCTCTGAAATAACAAAGATCAACATTTTTATCAATACCAAGAAAATGTTAGTAGCTTAACTTAGCCAAAATATCCAACTAAATAACCCATTTTTTTCAGTAACATAACAGTGAAATCCACATGGTGCTCCTATCAATGCCATAGTCTATTGTGAGTTGAAAAGCAATTAAAATCAGGAACACAAAATTATTCTGAAGTTTAAATCTTTAATTTAGTACAAATCATTCATTACCACTACCCAAATTAAGTCCAACCAGAGAATGAATGAATTCTTAACATGTACATGTATGTAAAATGTAAATTCATGAATCAATCCAAGTGCAATTCTGCATTATTTCAAGGTGCCAGCTTACACAATGTCATGGATCATGTAGGACTTCAGGTGCCCTTCCTTCATTATGCAACATGTTAGATCATAGGTGCCCTAACTGCATTATTTTAAGAGCAACATACATTAATTTTGTGCATTCAAGACCACAGGACTAGTGTCCTCTCATGCACTTTTTCAGTTACCATTGAACACCTAGGTCATATTTAATAAGATCCCAGATGCTCATTCCAGCATCCTTTTGGTCACTTATGTGTGCGTGCATCTGGATCATTTATGATCCCAAATGAGAATTCTAACATTATACCAAGCACCTGTAAGCTATCTGAAGTATGGTAAATAAATTATAATAACATACCTATAAAATTGAAGTACTGGTTGTGTCATTTTCTGGTAACCTTCTAAACGTTTTCTAACAGTCTCTTCTTTATCATCATCCCTCTGTATCAAAGGTTCCCCAGTTACATCATCTTTACCCTAGAAATAAAATATCCAATATTAAAATATAATATTATATACTAGTAAGTTCAGAAAAAATGGGGAATAACTCAACATATACAGGCATCGAAAAATATTTTCAGAGTCACTCTTCCTGCAGGACAAATAGCTTCTAAATCCAATGTGCAGGCAACATTTTTCTACTCGTCCTGCATCGAGATCTCTACTCATAATACCCAGCGGATCTCTGATATACCTGTATGTGATAAATAAATCATAGCAAAACTTAAAGGAACTCCACAAGGTCCTAAAGCCTGAAAATATAAAATTTGAATTTCTTACAAAGATCATCACACTTGAAACAGAAAGATATGCAAATGATAATTAATACATGTACTCAGTAAAATATTGATATTCATATTTTTAAGCTTTTCTTAGTCTGATTTGAGTGAAAAGTATTGCAACACTTTTAAATTTTAGGTCATTTTTCACAATTGGAACAGTATTATTCTGGAAAGACAGAGTTAGCAAATGATCTGAAATTTTGCACACAATTCATTTATGTAGACCTTCATCAAATGGAATATTAATATCCAGTTCTGTGATGTAAAATAACCTCAGCGGAGTCCCTTTTAAGAGTCCAGCTATAATGAATGTTAGAAACTGGTCTACAATTATAAATCTGAACACATTTATGAAGTTTGTAGTAAAAACCTTCAGTGGTTAAGGAGAAATAAAGTAAAGTAATAAAGTACGCAAAACCTCAACCAAGTTTTAAGCCAGTACTGACACCATTTCTAGGAGTGTTTAATTAGAATAGCTTAACTATTCTTTGAAATATCACACTAAACATTACAAGACTGCAACATACTGGTACTTTAGGTGGATTAAACTCTGTGTGATAAATACGTCCACTAGGAGCATGCGTCCAGCGTCCTTTAATTCTGTCGATGATAATGTAGTCTGGAATGTTGAGGTTCAATACAACATCTAACGGCTCCTTCTCATATAGGGCTTGTGCCTGGGGTACAGTTCTAGGAAAACCTTTAAATATTAAAATGTAAAATTAAAAGCAAGAATTTAAAGTATATCATTTTGTGTATAAATGCAAACTACTATAAATATATAGTAGGTGTAGGAAATAGCTTTGGGAGTCATTTTAAATCTGAGCTCAATGCTTTCTTAATGGTCAAACTAAAATAACTAGGCTAGGACTTATTTATACATGTACATGTATATAAAGGTGAGAGAATCTTCAATGATCAATACACATAAGAACTTACATGAATTACTCCTATATACAGATATATAGACTTATATATACTTATAAACTTATAAGATATATAGACTTATATATAAAGGACCTACAGCAACATGAAATAACAACCAACAAATCAGTCACACCAGTTTTAAAAAGCCTAAGGTTGTATGGCAACTATCCAGCTTTAGAGGTGGAGAAAAACCTCCAATGCCCCTGTCTGCATTATTTCATTATTCAATAGCTTTCATTGATCTTAACCTGACTTCGCCACATTCACCAAGGCCTCCAGTGACCCAAGAAATAAAGATTCTTTTCATCACATAATGTAAAAGCTTTTAAAAACACTCAAAATAGCAAAATTATGGAGTGATCTTTCATTTTAGAATTGAGCTCACCCATTAAAATTGACATGATAGCGTTATGATATTTTCAAATATAAAATGTGCAATATAAAGAAATTTATTACATGCTTTTCGGTGGTTTATAGAAATATATCAGTGAAATATAAAACTGCCCAGTACAGGCAACCAACTTAATGATGTGCCATCGTAAATGACGTCACACTGTATTATTATTTGGCGCCCTTTTCACTTAGTATAAGGTTAAAATGTCTTTTTAAATATTTCTTTGCATAATTATAATAAAAAGAAAATTTGTTTAAAGTTAAACGTAAGATCGAAATATATTTCATCTTCTGAACACCAAAATTTCATATTTCACTTGTGGCTGTGCCACTCGTGAAATATACCTTTTGGTGCTCACTCAATGAAATATTTTTGTATCTTACACTGAACTAAACAAATATCCTCTATATAATTATAATGCTTATAAATGTTATATTGAAAAAAATTTATTTCTTGTAATAAAGTCAATAGGTACATGTGGTAGCAGAAATGACACTTAACACAATTAATGTACGATGGATGTCAAAAGATTTGATAACATATAATTAAAAACCTACCATCAAGTAACCAGCTACTCGTTTTGATTTGTTTAAGTTCATCTACTAAAAGTTTCACCATGATGTCATCAGGAACTAAGCCTCCCTGGTCAATATACTTCTTGGCAGCAAGTCCAGCTTCTGTAGAACAAAGTTACAATTATCCATGTTAAAAATTAGAGTAAGTAAGGACAGCAAACTTATAAAAAGTGAAATTGGGAAACAAAGAAGAAATTTGGCCCAACTCCCTCTAGTGATCCCTGTAGAATACCCTACATTGAAAAGGCATCGTTTCAAGCAATCATGTAAACATTCACAAAAAAAATGTAAACAAGGGAACCTTCTCACATCCCCTTGGTGGGTGCACATTGCTGAAAAGGCAGAAGGCATCTGCAGAAGATTTAAAGAACTTTGGTTAGCAAAATTGAACAAAGACTAGAACTTGTACATACATACCAACTGCTGATGTCCTGACTAAAGCCAAGGGGAGTGAAACTACAAAGTGGGCAGAGACAACAAAGAATGTGCGAGAGCCCCTAGCACACAGAGTGACGGCATGAAAAGCAAGCCGCTAAGGCTTTGCTTGGCACCAACAGTCATTTTAAGGGTATCTCCTTTTATTATTGTCTCAGGTTTCTGTACATTGTGCAGTTAGGTTCTCATTTTATACCACTGTTCAGTGACCTACTCTTGCTTCGAAGTTCATATCTTTGACTAATACTCTGTGGACATTGCATGGAAGCCATACTTGACAGCAAAGCTGCTCGGCAGATCGACCTTCATTAAGCATAGAATACATAAATACATAAACGTGGGAGCCTTAGCCCTGTTGGAAGAAACCCTTTTATTAATGGATAAGATAACCCTAGAGTAATTATGTATACATATGTACCTGTCTTCAACAGTATTTGATGTCTAAGTAAGTCACCACTTGACAAGTGTTTCATGGAAAAATCTTTGATAATTCTCGATGAAATTGTTCCTTTTCCAGAACCAGGTGGTCCCATTATAAGAGCCCGAAGTAATTTGAGAGTCATTTTCCTTTTAGTAACATGAAGTTCAATTAAATTTCAAGGTGTCCTAGATATTGCCTATCAGTTGTCGTAAACCTGTGATAAGAAAGAACGACGGGTTTCTACGATATTATCATTTATGCATAATAAAAAGAATAAACTTATATTCTTCATTCACAAAAACAGTTGCTTACCTGCTAGGTTTTGCATTATGTATGAAAACATTGTTGTAAAATAATTGCCGTAAAACGCAAGTTGACAGACCACTTTACGGTGTTTACAGCGCGCTTGCCTTAATTTGTGTAAAAGTAATGTTTTAAGCTGAACTGCGTAACAAAGGTAAGATTTTGTAAAGATTTTGATTTTTATAACATAACCTTAAGCAAATTTTACTGTAAAATTTCATGTAATAAGAAAATGTAGACAGATATCGAATTGTAATTAGATTTCGCGATGTTCTTTAAAAATTCAAAACTTTCCTCGATGCATATTTCTTTACAATTAGTAATAAAATTGATATTCTTGACTTAAAGCAATTAGTTATAAAGCCATTAGTTATAAAATTGATATTCTTCATTTTTATTTTCCTTATGCCCCTTGTTGAATACCTCTGCTAAATACTTTTTGCCATGTTATCAATACATATTTTAGTCTAAACTATTGGTCAGTGAGTGAGGTATAAATTGTTTGATGCTATAAATTTGTTATTGGGTTTAAACTAATATTGTTGTCAGCTGATCAGAATACTCATCAGGTCAAGGATATTGTGATATTTATGGGTAGTCTAGAAATATATAGATTTTTTAATCCATAAATTTACAGATATTCAGTATGAAATATGCAGTTTTTAGTTTAATACTTTAATCTGTTGTATTAGAGGAGTTGTTTTATTGATAAATTACATTAACAAAGGTAATGATTACCTTTGTTAATGTAATCAATCAATAAAATGAGATATATTTCATCTTTGTATGATGACTGAAATTTTTGTAAAAAGTAAAAATTGAAAGTCATCACTATTGCTCTGAATATCACCATAGTCCATACTGTTGCATTTCATCATATAATCAGTAACCTTATTCTATGTAACCTGTAATTTTTATACATTCTACTATTTTCATACTTAATATCTGTAAATTTACAGATATAAAAGTCTATTTAATTATAGACAGTCCATAAATATCCAGAAATCCTGGACCTGCTTATTAACTTCCACTAATTTTTATTATCTGATTGTTTAAAGGATGACACAAAACATTTCTCATACAAAATAAAGTTATATTTGGTTACAAAAAAAAAATATTTTTTACAGAAAAACATATTTTTCTTGACTATGATGTTTATCATACCTTACTGATATATGTCAGTTGTCATAGCTGTGACTGAGGTGTGAAAAATGATAAAATAATGATTACTGCATTTAAGTTCATTAAGAAATAATGTCATTAATGCTTTCAGTTCTTTGAAATCAGTACAGATGGAAGTTTCTAGAAGGCAGCAGAGGAGAAGCAATTTTAGTCACCAGGCAGCCAGGGGCAATCCAGAGGGAGACAGTATAATCAAGAAACAGAGATATAAAGTAGGAGGCCCTCAGGCAGATTATGACACTACAGCTGATTATGGGATGTCACCTGTGAAAAGAAGAAAGCAGCATGGGTAAATTACCTTTTTAATGATAAAGACATCAAGTTTGATTGCATGCCTTAAAGCTACTTATCTGTGTAGGGTTTATTGTTCATGATAAATATTTTGACAATTCCTGTTTCCTGTGATTTAAAAATTTAAAGTACATATTTTAATAGTAGAATAAAAGGAGTGTGAAGATCAGTTTCTACTTGTATTTCGCATGTTTATATTGTTAAATTACTTTTGACAGTAATATTGACAAAATATATTCTGAATTGTAAATTCTAAAAGAGCTGCAAATATATTGTTATATATTTAAAATTATTTGCCTAAAATGTTACATTTATTCATTTTGATGTAGACATGCACATGAATAATAATTTTTTAATTTCTGTTTGACATAATTTATTAGCCTTTTCATGAATTGATATTAGACCTTTGCATCTTTTGTTCAAAAAAGATTCCAATAACTAATGTTTGTAGCGAAAATTGTTTCCTTAGGAATGACTTGGTTTGAAATATTTCCAGATATGAAAATTATCACTCAACAAACAAGAAAGGTCATTATGGACAGAGTTACTTGGAGTCAGAGGTTTCCACCTTAGACATTACAGATACCCCAGATTCACTGTCACAGATCAGTGCTATAGCGCCAGTCTCTGACATTTCAAACATCCAGCCCAGTTTTGCAAGGTCTCGTCACAGCAAGATGGCCGCTGACACAACATGGGAAAATGCAGTATCACATGCTAGAGGGGAACCTGATGGTGCTGAAAAGTCATTTCATAAAAAGAAGAGCAAGGTGTCAATTAAGGTATATAACATTTTTCTTTTGGTTGTTAAATGTCTTATACTTCTCTTTTTAACTTCTTTATTTGTTCATGAATTTTTAGGTGATTTTAAAGCTGAAATGAAATATTTAAGTCCAGTTGAAAAAAGCATTTTTCACCATGACAAAAAATTGCACATTCTTGCAAATCTGATTATTGTTGTAAAATATGTGGACAGTTTTCATCTTATGATATAAGGACATTGTTTTCATACTTAAAGAACTTATCTAGAAAATCACACCAGAAAGTCCGTTGAAAATTAGTATTTTTCACCAAGACAAAAAAACTTGCAAATCTGATTATTGTTGTAAAATATGTGGACAGTTTTCATCTTATGATATAAGGACATTGTTTTCATACTTAAAGAACTTATCTAGAAAATCACACCAGAAATGTAAATTCCCACTTATGAATAAAATTAAGACCAGTGCAAAAATTCCAATCCCATAAAATTTTCATGTAACTTGAATTCTGGGAAAAAACTCAATCTTAAGCAGGCAAAGATCTATAGTATTGAACTGAAAACTTTCATCTGTGAGTTATCTGGACATGTCTCTTTTATGAAAGAAATGAAAGCTCTTAAAGAGATTTAAAAGTCATAGCGGTGACAAGCATGTGATTTTCAAGCAGGCATCATAATGAGAATTGACAGGTTCAATGTTTGATGATACCTGTATTAAAGATTTTATTTCATGATTTTAGTTCATAAAAGAAAAATTGTGTAATTTATTATACAGGAACAGTTAGAAACTGTACCAGAAGAGGACTCTGTACACAGTAAAGGTAGTAGTGGAGGGGGGAGTATGAGACAAGTTGAAGGATCACCAGGAATACAGAAACCACCACCCACTGCTGTTGAAAGAAAGAAGTCTGTCAAGGTATAGCTTTTACATCTTTGTTGTTTGCATTGAATCTTTAAATTAAAAATATAATTTATACACATGTTGAGTTTTTACATATTTGACAGTACATAATTCATTACTGAAATGACAAGTAACCTTGACTAAAACTTTGCCATTATTAGTATTAAGTCAGACTAACCTTTTCTTCAGAAAAGCCTTATCAGATTTTTTATTTTGCACCTAAATAATAATAAAACACTTTGAATTAACATTGAACAATGAACAGTTCGAAAATTAAAACAAAACGAGTCCAAATTGAAATCTAGTGGTGGGCAAGTTAAGAACATGTTTCATAATAACTGATAGAAAATCAAGAACCTCTAGAATCAGAATTTCCTGCTTTCGTAGGAATACATCTATATATTATCACAAAAAATAAGAGGGAGAAAAAGGTCATTGAAATTGTATTGCACATTCACTTGTTGGAACATAGTTATGAAGATTTCACATTAAAAGTTTGAAAGATAAATTTTCATTTGTGCAACTGTGAATTTATCTATAAAAAGACTTAAATATTTTTTACAGAATATTTTTATCAAAAATGTCATGTATAGCTTTAAAAATTTAATTCTGTTATTTACTTTATTCGCTATTTCGACTGTCTTTCAGGGTCAGTTAAGGAAAGCAGCATCTGTTCTGAAAAAGGCCAGATCTAAATCTAAACTTCCAGAAAACAAAGTTGGTGTGAAAAGAAAACTTGATGCCACATTGGCAGATGAAACAAGTATGTTGAATAATGTACATATACATAAGTGTTAATGAAACAAAATGGACAAAAATATTTCATATAAAGAGCGTATTTATACATGGTGATATAAAGATTAAAGGAAAAAAACAATTTTCATATTTAATGTAAAACAATTAGTGATGTTCTTTTTTTTTTAAATACATTGTACTTTAGAAATATTTTTAACAGATTTTTTGGATTTCTTTTATATCTATCAATTTATTTGTAATAGTGGAGACCAGAAACAACAGAACTATGTTTCTTGGCCATACAGTTACACATGATGCAGCAAAATAAATAGTTCTGAATGTCAACCTATGTTTTCATGATTGTATATTACAGTGACAACGAAGCCAGACACTAAAGAATTAAGTAAGAAAGAGAGGAAACATGTGAGGAAAGCTTTAAAGACCAACTTTGAACAGATACAGAGGTCCAAGAAAATCTGGGAAGAATTAAGAAGGTAACTGGGCATCTCAACTTCCCTTGCTATTAATCCATTCGCTTAAAGAACACGTGCCTTGTAAACTTACACTTTTCAGTTGGTTTATGAACCAGACCTATTAAAAAAGTGTGTGTCCAATTTTTCCAAACATGGTTAGTAGTATTTACTTGAAAATTTATCTAGATTATGTACAATTTTATAACAATGTGAGGAAAAGTCAGATATATGTTTGAATTTTATATTCCAAAGACATGTATACCCACAATCGTCACCTTAGTGCAGTAACAGGTTAAATCCTAATATAATTTGATAGGAGCTAACTTGTTATTGCACAAAGGTGATGATATACCCATTTAATAGGTAAGTAATTGGTAAAGTGAGTTAAATGGGTATTGTAGAATCTTACAGGTTTAAGATACAGGATTTTTGCTTTGAAATCTGTGTTGAAATATCTTATTATGATTCTAGGTTTAATGTGAAAAAAGATAGGAAGCTGGAGTTGTGTAATGAACTGTATGATATGGTTAAAGATAAAATGAAGGAGGTATGTACATGTGCTCAGTCTGCTCAATAAAACTGTCTAAAAGTAAAACATTTATAATTTTAGATTAAAAAAAAAAAAGACCTTGTTTAAGAAAGAATATTTTTAGCTCAACTAATAGGGATAGGGAAAACAATTGTATTCTCTCAGGCATCACATTTTGGTTAATTTTTTTCATGCAAGTTGGGTATTTCAAGTTGCCAATTGGGCTGAAAAGAACAGGTTGAAACTTCGGACACTTTTTTGCAAGCATAATACGATGTCACCGTCCAAGACCCATAAAGCTAACATGGATTTTGACAGAATTATGGCCCTTTTTGAACTTAAAAACTACATTATCCAGGTTCTTATTTTACTATCAAGAACAGAGAATTGTCAAGCATTCTGTGCTACTGACAGCTTTTGTTTATTTTTAAGATCCTTTGTCTTTAAATCAAAAGGATATGAAAATAATTTTAAAAAATGGTTAAGTTATGATGGTTGCATATCTTTATTTGTATCTATGTAACTTTTAAATCATTTTACTTTAGTACATGTATTAGGTTCCACTGAGATGAATAGGCAACAAGTCTGCCTATGTCATTCAGTTTTTTAATGAATGGAAATAATCATTTACTACCAAAAGAAACATTTGATACTCATTGTGAGTTTACTTGTGATTATTTATTTTGTTTGTATATATATGTATAATTTATATGTGTTTCAGTTTTGTTTTGCACACGATACAGCTAGAGTTATACAGTGTTTAATACAGTATGGAACACCAGAACACAGGGAAAGAGTTTTTGAAGAATTAAAAGGTGAGTTTGGTTGAATAAGATAATTTTGCATGATATATGCTATCTGTAATAGATGTGACATGCTCATATTGTCAAGTATACACAGAGATTGCCCCAGAGATTGTCCCAATCTTTTTACAAACTTTTGGTACATAAAATACACTTTTAGGTTTTCTAAGTAGAAAATAGTTGAACAAAATATTTTTATATAACTGTTTTTTTGTTTACAGAGGAAATTCCTACAATGTCGAAGTCAAAATATGCAAAATTCTTGGTGAAGAAAATGCTTATGTATGGGTAAGTAATGCATGCAATTTAGTGCTTTTGTAACGTTTTGTTCTGATTATTAAAATTTTTGATTTTAATGACAATGTACTTATATAACGTTTCATATAAGGAATAAGCAGGGGCGTCAGTGACCGAGTGAATAAGCTGAGTCGTTGACTTCAAACCTTGCACCTCACCACTGTGGGTTCTAATCCTGACAGGGACTTTGAATTCTTTCTAGTGAGGAAGCTCTCCAGCTAGCTTACAGAAAGTTGGTGGTTCTACTCCGGTGCGAGTTCGTACCTGGAATATTGCATGGAAGGGCAGCTAAGGTCTTCCCCCACTAGTAAAGCTAGAAAGTCGCCATATGACCTGTACTGTGTTAGTGCAATTTAAAACCCATCACAAAAAAGGAATAAGCCTTTAACTTTATTGTAAAGTTAAGTACTCTATGAACAGCAAAGAGCTTTTTTTAGTTGATTTACACATAAGTCAAACAGGGATAGTGGCATGTAAATTCTGTTTTAATTTCAGAACAAAGCATCACAGAAGTGCAGTGTACAAAAGTTTCCATGGTCATGTAAGACAGCTAATAAGACATAAGGTGAATATATACATGTATATAAGATAATCTGTGCTGTGTTCATAGAAAGTCCTAACTGTATCTAAAGTCCTGGGACATAGGAACAACTTTATAACAAACCTTAGACGTTTTCAGTTAACATATTTATCATAATTTAAAGACTATAGACTTAATTCACATATGCTAGTTTGAACACTTCTGTGTCAATACAAAACATATGTCTCATGCATACGGTAACTATTTAATAGATGAATGTTTTTATGAAATTAAAGCAAGTAACATTTTTGAAGAATAGATATACAAGGTATGGTGGGCAGGGGAGGGGAATGATGGGATGGTATGGTATCGTATCATATGGTATGGTTTGTAATAAGACACGACTAAACTCATCTGGAGTTGATGTGATATTGTGTTGAAACAAAATACAAAATAAATTTGCAGAACAAGTGAAAACATTGTTGAGCTTAACCTGAATATTATTTTGTCTCTTTAAAAGTAGATAATGATACCCAATCAATGAGGTAATGAAAGTAAGTACACAGATATTTCTATATGATACAGGTGGCTGCTGATGTGGTGGAGTACGCCTACAATGAATATGCCAATGCTCATCAGAGACTCAGTATGCTAGAGGACTTCTATGGGCCAAGTTTTTGTCTTTTCAAGGTATGTCTTTCACTCTTTTTACACTTTAACTGCTTAAATTTTAAGTGATCAGCCTTTGCCACCAGTATAGAGCCAGGCCAGCCAGCACATCCGTTCAGTCTGACCAGGCTCTATACTGTTGGTAGCTGAGTTTTTGTGATTTGATATTGAAATCCCTTAATCTTTGAATAGACTATTGCAATCTGGAGAAAGATTGCTCCCTCGCAAGGATTTATCACAACAAAATTACATGAAAATTGCAAACTCAGTTTGATGGAGAAATTACAAATTCAAAGCAGAAATCTATTACACAAATTCAGCTGGTTAAGGGTTGATTGATAGCAACAATAATGAGTTATGACTGCTGTTAGTATTCAGTTGGGCCAGCCAGCTCAGCAGTATTTTTAGACAAGACTTGTGTATAGTTTTAACATTTTGATATTGAAATACCTTTAATTAACAGTTTTTTACATCATATTGATAATAATGGTAAAATCTTTATTTCGAGAAAGTAATATGATGTAGGTGTCATTTTCCTTGGAAAAAAAGTTCTTCTTCAGAAGCTATTATAAGGTGAATGACTTTTAAGTAATGTTAGTATTTAGATATTTAGTAAATTAAGTAATCCTGGTATAAAATTCTTTACTTTCAGATATTTTCAATGTATTTTTTCCTGGTTTGAAATAAAAAAACAAATATAAATAGTCATTGAAATGGAGTAATTACACTACAGTATACTAATGTGCCATCTATGTTCTCTGATTGCTTTTAAAAGATGATTACTGTGTTCCATTTATGTATGATTCCTGTTAACAAAAACAGAATATTACTATGTTTGATGAAACTAATTTCAGACACCAGATATAAAATGTTTAGGACAGATTATGTTGAGTCAACCAGACAAGAGAGACATGATCTTGCGGAATATGAGAGAGGCACTTTTACCCCTGATAGATAAGTAAGTGAACTGTCACTACTAGTTTTTTTTTTAAACCTTTAAAGGGTCTCTATTTTGAAGATGTCCACAACTTTAAATATCCATGAAAATGTTGTATATGACAAAACCACGAAATTAAGTGAATTCACAGTAATTCTAAAAAGTTTATTCTAGCATTTTAGTGTAAAAAGGCACAGAAAGAGAGTATGCATATTCAAAAGTTGTGAATTTTAATATTATAGCATATATTCAATGTTGTATAGAAAATATGATTATAGTGTAAATTCCAAAGTAGAGTTATTCCATTATTCTTTTCCCTTTTTCTTTCAGAAATATTTTGGTTCATTCAATGGTACATAAAGTATTTATGGAGTATTTCACATATGCTGATGGAAAAATGAAAGCAGTAAGTCTCCAGCTAAATTATTGCTTTTTAAAATTCTGTTCACAGACATCTTTATGTTTTTGTATTTGAAGTAAATTTGCCTGTCTTTATGTATAACTTTGTCTAAGCATTGTGAAGGATGGCATTGTAAAATAGAGGATATTTTATGAGTGTAGATTTAAAGATATACTATGCTCAAATTTGATATTAGAAAATACAAAAAAAAAAAAATGTATTGATAATTGTTACACAGTCACTTTGTATATATAAAAGAAACATGTTTGGACTTCATACAATATAGACACTAACATTGGCATGCTTTAATTAATGCTATGTTTGTATATAACGCAAATCATGTCACATCAAAGTGTAAAATCATGTCTATTAAATGGGCTATTCATCCACTCCAAATGTAAATATTGAAAAGATATAAGAAATATATATGGGAATTTTTCTTTATAGGAAATGATAGAAGCATTAAGAGAGTCAGTAATACATATGTTACATACGCGAGACGGTGCTAGGGTAGCTATGCAGTGTATCTGGCATGGAACAGCAAAGGTTAGTAAGATAGATAATTACGAAAAGCAACTATAGATTAAGATACATATACTCAAATAACCTCCGCTGGTTGGTATTTTACTGGTCAGTCTTACTATATATTTTTGCAACATAAGTTCAGAGGATGAATTTTACATTCTTGAATGTTGAGACTAAATTTATTTGTTTAGAGTTTAGCAAATATTCAAGTTTTCAGGTAAACGTTTTTCTAGCAAGCAAAAAAAAGGATAGGTTTGTTTAGCGATCGAAAATAATTCCATTTGTCCCCTCTTAATTACTAGTGGAATTTAAGAGAACTCTATACAGGATGAGTAGAAAAATGTTGCCTGCACATTGGATTTAGCAGATACTCGTCATGCAGGATGAGTGACTCTGAAAATAGTTTTTGATGCCTGTTGGTTGATATAGTACGTTTTTTGTTTTACTTTGACATTAGTTACTTGTATTTTTCAGGACAGGAAAACTATAATAAAGAGTTTTAAAGGAAATGTTGTGAAGATTTGTCAAGAGGAGTATGGGCATCTTGTGATGTTGTCAATATTTGACTGTGTTGATGATACAAAAATTGTAAAAGCTGCATTACTTGAGGTAATATTAAATAAAATTTGAAGGGAATTTTTAATTTGGGCATTTTTTGCAAGGAGATTATAAGTTTAATCTCAGTAAAGGGCAAGACTTAAGGTGACAACAGACACTTTCCGTGGTACTCACATAAATGTCATTTAAACCAACTTATTTAAGTAATAATTGTTATTTATTTAATCTTTGTGCATTAAATGTCGTTGATCAACATAAAAAATAACATATTTGAAAAAAATGCCTTTGTAAATGATTGATTTTTAATAAAAATCCTAAAATTTTAAATCTTCATATCAAAGTCATTTTTTATTTTTTTGTCATCAAACTTTTGGAAAATAAACATACTTATAATATCTGGGGAACCGTGTCTCAAATTTTTTCTATCTTTTCTCAAAAAAATATTACGTAACGTCAAACATTTTATGCGACTTTTTTCACCATACATATTACGTAATTAAAGATAATTAAGTCGCTGATCGAGCAAACAAAAATCCCTGACACGGTTCCCTCCGTAAATAAATTCCCTTTCATGTGCTTTAAACCGCATGTTAATTGCTTGATTATTAAAAAAGTTATGCCGATTCAAAGTTAGTCCGACGAAGTGTCGTAAATCGGCTTTTCTCTCTCGGACCCCTACGTTTCACGCTAAATAATTGCATAATACACAAATATCGCACCAGAGAGGGTCACAAGTTGCGCTAACAAACTCTAACAACATTTTATGACCCAGTGACATCTGACCAATTAAAAAGTTGCTGATTAATATCAGTTTATAACAGAAATTTCTTCAAATCTTAACGTGATTTACTGTCGGTCGCACATGTCACGTGACTTTCGGTAAAATTTGAGGCACTCGGTGGGGGGAAATGGAACGTATTTGCGCACCGCTAGCGGGGTATTTAATTGTTTCACTTTTGAAGATTATTATTATTATCATCAGCATTATTATTATATTATACCAGTGTCACTCTGTCTGTGTATTCGTGTATGAAATTCCGTTAAAATATAAATTAAAATAACAAAACTGAGCTTCTGATGGTCTTTTAAAGTCCATGGTAAATGTAAAAATAAAAACGAGATATTATATATTTCTTCCTCCAAATGAAATAAATGCTTGACATTTTATAATAGAAAAGGAAGGTATCACTCGATCATTATGATCTGACCTTTATGACTTCTTTTATCATGAAAATCATCTATGCACGGCATAGATATCCAGTTTCTACTGGGATATACAATAAATTCCATACTTTGTCCCAGGTTTATTAGTACTGTGTTCGATTTACTGGCGAACAATTTATTCAGAGCATTCACTGATAGTATACATTAATATCTTTTTTTATTGATTCATAGAGAAATGATCATCCTTAAACAATCTAAAATGGTTTAGAAATTTGTCAGGGACACCTTACCACAAGTCATATAGGCGTTCACATAAAAAATGTTGTCTGTTTTTGTTGTTGTTTTACTTGACATTGTTAGAAAACGAGGTTGAATGTAAAGCAAGCCGATGAATCCGTACAAAAGTCCATAAACTCAATGTAATATCTATCAGATTAACGGGACAGACAAATTATTTTCACACATTATGGATATTTTAGCAACTGTATTTTAAATCAACCCGTGGTCGTGCGATTTGCCGCTATGCTTAATTAGTCCCCTACCGGTTTAACCGGAGGGGACTTTAGGTTTACCCTCCGTCCGTCTGTCTGTCCGTCTGTCTGTCAGTCCGTCAGTCCGTCCGTCCACAAAACTGGATCCCGCGATAACGCAAAAAGTACTGAAAATATTTTTATGAAACTTGATATATGGATAGATGGCAGTATGGAGATTATGCACGTCTTTTTTTTTTCTTCCTATGTTGAAAATTCTGGTTGCTATGGCAACAAATAGTCTGAAAATATGGCAAATTTAACACATAAACTGGATCCAGTGATAACTCAAAAAGTACTGAAAATATTTTTATGAAACTTGAAATATGGGTAGATGGCAGTCTGGAGATTATGCACATCTTTTTCTTTTCTTCCTATGTTGAAAATTCTGGTTGCTATGGCAACAAATAGCCTGAATTTCAAGATTTCTGATTTAAATTTTTCAGCTTTTTCACTATATGTTCTTTATTTCTTAAGGTGTTTACTTTAAACTTTAAATATAAGTTTCTGGTCATCAACCACATCATATGTGACAAGGTTTATAACTCTAGCACAAAAAATATCAGTATTACCTCCCTAGAACTTAGATTTTTTAGGGGAAAAAATGTTGTCTTTTTTAAATAACTTCTTTATTTCCTAATGTATCTACTTCAAACTTCATATATATGTTTCTTATTATCACTCGACATTTTTGAGAAGGTTAAATACTCTAGCAAGACTATTTCCAGAATTATGTCCCCCTTGAACTTAGATTTTTTTCGAGAAACTGGTATTTTCACTCCAACTTCTTCATTCCTTATAGGATTTACTTTAAAATCCCACATCGTAATAATATGACAAGGTTGTATAAACATAATTTCCTTACTAAGCATGGAAACTTAACACATTACTGTGATATAGACAAACTTATTTTATTATGTTTTGTGGTTGATATTTTCAAATACAGACTTCATCCTCAAATTCATTATAAATGGCAATACACAGGAGTGTATGACAATTAAAGAACTTTTTGAGGGACCGGTAGGGGACTACTGTATTGCCCGCAATACTATCAAATGCTTGTTAATTATGTTTCATACATTATGTTACGTACATTGGCCGACAATTTCTTATTTTATAAAAATGCTTAATAAAAGGTAGACGATATTCATAAAAGATGTACGGTATTTGTACGATACATGAATTACGAGTAGTATGGACCAGTATGGACGGGTAATTCACGGATATATGGAACTACCGATTTCCCTCATTGATGCCTCAACAGGGGGCGGAGCGTTATCTATAATTGACAGGTTACGCGAATAGCAGATAAAAATGGTACAGGTACCGTTTTAAAACGTTTAAAAACACATTTTTTGGACTAACTGCTTCCAAAATTAAATCACGAATGTGTTCAGAAAAGGTTGATAAATCTACTAAGCAAAGAATCTCATTTTAGGTATTTTCAGTAATAATTGACTCCGTTGTCACCTTAAGTTTCAAACTTTCATTATACATGTACTTTTATGGTTTTATATGAAAAAGGGTGTTTGTTTTTGGTATACACAAGTTAAATATTAAGTGAGTTCTTGTTAAATGTTAACCACACTACCAGGTTTATTTTATTGTGTAAAAATGTACTTATTCATAGAAATTAAGATAACATAGTTGTGTGTACTGTACATAATGAGGGTTCTTTATGTTTTTGATGTTTTCAGGAAATGATGAAAAGTTTAAATGATATAGCACAGAACCAGTATGGTAGAAAGGTGTTACTGTATTTATTAAGTCCGAGAGATTCTCACCATTTCTGTCCAGACATTGTACGAGTGCTGCAGGAAGGGGATGCTAGCCTTACCAGGTATGTTTGATTAGTTAAAATAAATTATTTTACTTTGATTGTGCTTTTAGCTTATAGACACACACTCTTGAATCAATTCTTTGAACCAACAAGAACTCGACGTTTCTTGCACAAGTAAACAGCCGCCTGCCCCTGAGGGGGGTTTGGACCCATATGGCTAGTAATCTCTATATTACTTGTCCACTACATCATTGATTGATACCTTTTATCTTTATATTATTCTTATGAATATTGTCAAAAGAAAGTCACTAGTTGTTAAAGGTATTGTTAATTGAATTGCACGCACAAACTTTTAGCTCTACTAGAACTTGTGGCAGGACCAAACACTCATAATGCTGGTCACCAATATTAACAATGAAATGAATAAGACTTATGTCCTTGGTATTGTGAACTGATATTGTAATAGTTATATTGTTATACTGATTGTATTAATATCTAAAAACTTAAAAAAAAGTTTTGCATATACATTAAATTCTCTCTATTAAGACCACTAATGAGACTGACTTAAAGTGGTCTTAATAGTGAACAGGTCTTTACAGTGAATAATCCACTTTTAGAACTTATGCAGTCCAACTAAATGTCTATGTACTTGTATCTTAGAATTTAATTCAGGTCTTTATCTTTTTTTAGATTTCTATCTTTTAGATATAATAAAGTTACTTTCATATTTCCATAATACAATTTTTGATAGACTGAGCAAGCATTGATTAAGTCAATAGAGTCATAAGAATGCAAACTAAAAAAAGACTGAAGTTTAACAGTTTTTCCAAAATATAATGTTAAATTGAATTTTCTGGATATGTTTTTTCACTTTGCAGTAAGAAGGAGAAGTCGGTGAGATATCAAGAGTTACTGGGAGCCGTGTCAGATCAGTTACTACAGTATATTGTTGACAATGTAGCCACCCTGGTTGTGAACAATAATATGCTAGTGTTGATTGTAGCCATTATAACACATGCTCAAGGTATGTCAGCTTTTTGTAGTACTGTCTGTAATTGTCAGTAATTGGTAAATTTACTGGCTATGGTAGAATTTACCGAAGACTACTGTTGCCAAAACGTTTCAAATGAAAAACACCACAGAAATATACATGACCATTGTTACCCTGAATTTTTCACTTGTGGTTATAAATTTACAGAGTGCTGTAAATGTTGTATAATTTTTTTCAGAATTATTAATGTAGAACAAAACAAAACATTAAATAATGAAAATCTCAGAACTGAAGTTAAAAAAAAAAGGCCAGAGAAAAAAATGAAATTTTTTAAAACAGAACTGATACTGTAATAAATATTTAAGGCACTCCATTGAGGTCCAAAGGCCTAACAACATAAAATCTGACAATCTTTCAATTATCAAGTGAAGCACTTAAATCTAAAAATCAAAGAATAACGAAAAACGTATACTCAGAATTAGTTAGAAAATCGATTTCTGTGCGGTTCTATGCAGGATTTAAGTGAAAAGCATTGCAACGCTTTTCATTTTAGGGGTCATTTTGCTCAATGACAATGATTATTCTGTAAAAATGGGGTGAGGGATTGAACTGTTATTGGTCTAAACCTTCATCAATTGGTACACAAAACTCGGAAAAATATTTCCAGTCGCGCCATGCAAAAACACCTCAGTGGAGTCCCTTTAAAAATAGATATATGTTGTTTATTACAGGAGATCCTACGGCTGCTATGGAGGCTGTGGCGAGTATAGCCGCTGAACCGTTTGTTGTTGGTAATACAGAGGGCGGTCTACACATTGTTGAAAACCCCGCAGGTCACATGACCCTGAAATGGCTCATACAGAATGATAAACAGAGAATTAAAACCGGACAGAAAGGTCAGTGTTTACAAATGATGAATTTACCCTTAACTCCTCTGAATTTCTTAAATGGACTTGTCCAGCGTACATTTTTGGAACTATCCATTATCGATTTTGGGGATATCAAGATGGAAAAATTAAAAGTTGATCATCCAACAGTAAAATGCCTGATTACGATTTTCAAAGGCTAATAACTTTATGTTCTAGCGTTTAAAAGATTAAATCATTTATGAGGGGGGCGTCCGTGGCCGAGTGGTTAAGGTCGTTGACTTCAAACCACTTGCCCCTCACCTCTATGGGTTCGAATCCCGACAGGGACTTTGGATTCTTTCATGTGAGGAAGCTATCCAGCTAGCTTATGGAACGTCGGTGGTTCTACTCAGGTGCCCGTTCGTGCCTGAAATAATGCACGGAAGGGCACCTGAGGTCTTCCTCCACCAGTAAAGCTGGAACATCGCGATATGACCTATACTGTGTCGATGCGACGTTAAACCCAAAACAAAAAAACAAAAAAAAATCATTTATGATTCTAATTATTGGAAGTGAAATGGAAAAATGCTGGATCCAGGTTTGATTGTGTTATCTAGAGGTTACAAATTCAGTTTCTTAATTTAGTTTTTTTTTTTTGACAGTTTTCAAATGGAAGTAAACTATGGTGTTCTTTAAGTGCCATTGCCTTGTTTGCTGTAACATTTGAATTGTGCAGTGCCAGTTTTGCTTAGTCATTTAAAAATAAAATGGCTTCCACTTCTAGTGGAGTTCCCAAATTTAGTCACCATTGGGAGTTATCATAAATGAATATATTCAAATACATACATAATCATAATGTTATGTCACCAGCTTAAGCTATATTATACAACAGTTAAGAGGGGTGTCCTTTGTTCAGTGGTTAAGGTCATTGACTTCAAACCACTTGCCCCTCACAGCTGTAGGTGCCGACTGTATCTTTCATTTGGAGAAGCTATCCAGCTAGCTTAAGGAAAGTTTGTAGTTCTACTCAGGTGCCTGTTTGTGCCTGAAATAATGCACGGAAGGGCACCTGACGTCTTCCTCCACTAGTTCAGCTGAAAAGTCACCATATGACCTATACTCTGTTGGCAAGACTTGAAATAAATATTAAAAAAAAAAACAATGCAGCAATTGGGAGCTAAGTTAATCAGCTATGACAAGGTTTAATTTACAAGTTATGCACTATTTATATAACTTGCAGCTTTACCTATTTAATGTTAGCTCCTATAACAAGTGTTATTGCCATTTCAGTTTTGTTCTCAGAAGTGTTACTAAAGAAACTACCTGAAGGAGCTCTCAAATCATGGGCAGCCTGTAATAGAGGATGCTTTATCCTAGTGTGGTAAGTTCTTTGATATTTACGAAAAAGCCTTGAGTTTAATAAAAGTCACCATTTATTTATTACAATATTGGATAAGATAAGTAAAGGACATTTATGGTCAAGTTGTTAAGGTGTTTAGCTTTTACCATTTACCTTTCACCGCTTTGAGTTTGAATACTGCCAAGGACTTTGGATTCTTTCATGTGAAGAAGCTATCCAGCTAGCCTGCAGAACCAATTTGGTTCTAGTCAGGCGTCAATTTGTGCCTGATATTCATGCTGGCTATTGTCAAAGGCTTAACACTAGCAGTCATGTAGGGTATGGATAGGCTATATAGTCTTTAATGATTCCAGCTGAGTAGTAACCCAAATAGCTTAATTGGAGTGTAAGGGCTACAGAATCTTGGCTCATGCATTTTAGATGTTGATGATATATGTGATGCTATTTATACCACAGCTTTATGTTGTTAGAATCGACAGCTTAGTACTAGTAAAGAATCCAGGAACTTCTGTTAAGTTTGAACCTCTTGCTGCTGATAAATAGATTGTCCTGTTGAAGTTATATCACTGAAATTTATCCATCCTTAAACAAACCTGGAAAAACAAAAATACTAGTTCAATAATCTATGTGGATTGTTTGTATTTTACAGTTTATTGGACCTGGAGCACTCAGAGATTACAAAGTTAGTTGTAGGCCAGCTGATGAAGGGTGTACGGCATTCACTGAAGAAAATGACATTTAAGGGAGCACAAATATTGGCTCAGAAACTTGATGAGGCAAAAACAGCAGTATAGAGCTTAAAAATATTGACTCTATATATTCATTTAGCTAAAGGAGCTCTAAAGAGCTTATGAAAGGCTCTGTAAGCTTAAAAACTTACATCTGAAATATTAGCTGTATATGTTAAATTAGCTAATGGAGCTCTAAAGGGCTTTTGGAATACTATATAAGCTTAAATCTTACATACATAGCTTCATTTAAGCATATTTATATAAAGCCTTTGAATAGTTTTTGTAGAGTACGAATTTCAGCTTAAGATGTATAGTCTTGTTATGCTGAGAAAAATAAGGATAACCCAAAGTGCTCTGGCTGAATTGTATGTTTTACATAGCAAATTAGACTCTGTTTTATTTAAAACATTTAACCTACTATATTTTTGTAATGGATTTATCCAACTTTGGATTTTCGATAGTCCATTCAATGTTAAAGGAGTTTCCATGTTAAAATAAAAAAAAAAAAAAATTGATATATCGACAGTATAGAGCCCAGTCAGAATGCATGGAAGTGAAGGCCTTGCTCGATACTGGTGGCAAAGGCTAATCACAAATTGGTTCAACCAGGTTAAAAGAAGCTTTGACATCGAGGCTATTTTTGATGCTAAAGCATTCATTTACAGATAATTTTCACAAATTCATAGTATTGTAACCTGACTTTTGTTGGAGGCTAAAATTTATCAGGTTTGATTAAGATGTGTTTTTGTTACTAAACACTACCAACAATTTAATCAGATGAAACAATATGTAATTGTTACGATGTGTATATTCTTGAAGCAAGAACCTCTTGTTGATCCTCTTGGGGCATTTTTTACGAACCATTCTAATTACATAATTATTTGGTTCCGACAGGTATTGGTCTTTTGTAAATTTAAATGTATAAATATATTGTTTTTCAGCATAAGGTTATTTGGATTCTGTTTATTTGTATGTTTTACTCTTTACCATGTTGTATTTAGGGTGTTTTTAAGACTGATCTTTCTTTGTATATACATGTACATTTGTTTATAGTTTTATGGGGGTTTTGTTTGAGCAATACAACTGTAAGAAGTGACTTGTTCCCACAGTGAAGCATATAAATCCTTAATCTGATGAATTTGTCATAATGAATTTGTCCATTTTTTTTTAAAGAATTAAATGGTCCATTAAAACTTTAAGGGATTTCAAAATACAAATGTACTGTTTAAAACAGTATAGAGCCTGGTCAGACAGCACATATTCGCAGGCTGGGGTATTAAAAGGGGTAAAATTTGCAAAAGAAATGTTTAATTTAATTTAGAAATACTGGAACTGGTCTTTGATTATGCTTGCCTATTTTCTGTTACATGTACTTGTATTATTAAGAGATTGTGTGATTTTAATCATGTAAAATTGGTCATATTTTGTTATTGAATATTGCTGTTTTCCATGCAATTGATGTTGTCATTTTGAAAATATGAACTTGAATAAATAAAATAATTTGTCCTCTGAAAATGTTTTTAGGTGCTTTTTGTTGTGTAGATATAGCTGTTGTTATAACATGACTTTGCTGATATGTTGGTGAGTAAAAAAGTTAATGCCCACATGATGCCATTGTCATCTCTGTAGTTGAATTACTAAATAAGTTACGCACCCATGGGTACAAGTTTTAAGACATTTGAGTGAAGTTAAGGTTTTCTTTTACTACTGAAAGCATTCTTTTTCTATATAAACCATTTACAGAATAATGCTGAAAGAGTTTTCAGAATTTTTGTAGTTTAAACTTGCACCCATGTCACTCACCCCATGGGTCATTCAGATTTTTTGTAGTTTAAACTTGCACCCATGTCACTCACCCCATGGGTCATTCATTATTTATTCTTATATCTTAACACAGCACAAAATCTTGAAATTGTTGCAAGTACGAGGTCATTGTCCGAGAATAACCTTTAGTTAACGTATGCCA